TGGCCTGGCCTACCCATCTGTCACATATCGTGCTGGGTATAGACATAGCGGTGGCTCTGGAAGATTGTCTGATTTTGAAGCCTCAAGATGGATGTTGAGGTTTTCAAGGCGATTTAAAAATCCATAAGCTAAACTTTTATATCTTGAGACAAGTGACATGTGTGGCATGATAACAAATGACAATGAATAATTTCTCCTTTATACCGTTTTTGGTACCATTTCCTTTTTCTTTGCTAGCTCCTGTCACACGAGGGAGAATGAATTCCTGAGGAAGCGGGCAACAACGTAGCATTCACTGTGGGAGCAAACCACAACACTATTTTTCAGAAATTATTAGAATTTTTTTTAATTTGCATCCAAAAACGGGAAAGTGATGACAGTTTAATTTAGAAAAACTGACCGTAACTTCTGTGATTATTTCAATTAGGCAGGTTCATGCACGCACGTCTAAATTGTAAAAAGAAAAATCACTGTAATGGCGCTAGCGACAATCAAACTGAATACCGAAGAAGTCAATGATCTTGAATGACTTCAGACAAATCTATTGATTAACAAAGTTCGAAGAACCCATAAATCATCAGTTTTACGATGGATCAAGTTTCATTGCACCGATATCTTTTCCCAAGCCTGATTATGCTTGCAAGCCCTGACTGCATGGCCATTCAACTTAGAAAGACCTTCCTAATAAAATGCTCATTGCGATCCTGTGGCCAATCATGCATGGAGATGAAATAGCTACGTCACTTTGGGCAACCAATGGGCAGTGTAGTCGATCGAAGATGGGTGCGAAAATACGAAATTTTAAAAGTCTTCTTAAACCATAGACTTCTAATCGTAGGATGAAATACTTTTAATTAGCATATACGAATGTAAATAAATATCATCTTTGTTTTAATTAAGGATGCATGGTCCTTCTTATCTTGATCTACCATCTAGATTTGAGATAAGAATAAAACGCATTTAACTTTAATACCAGTCGGAAGCAATATTTCAAATCGCCCTTCACCTTTTAACAAAAATCGGTTATATTGCAGACGTATAAACCACTGGCAGGTTGCACAAAATGACAAGGGTATTCCAGACTTGAAATTGTAATCAGTTTTAAAAACACTGGTATTCAGCAAGTTCGCTTAAAAAATGAAGGTAGAATTCGAAAAGACCAAGTATTCAAAAATCCAAATCCCGTCAATATATCTCGAAAAAAGGAACGTAGTTTCTATAAATCGAATCACTGCTAATTTCCATAAGCAGAATCAAAGACTTGTCCGACATACCCCCGAAATACCTCCAGATTTTGCGACTTGGAGAGGCATTCCATAATGTTCTTAAGTGGAGGATGGTAAAATATAAATTCCTGCTTTTAAAATTCGACAAGTGCGGAAGAGAGACGTTGGACTCCATCTGTTTTCAAATGGTGCAAATATAAATGATAATCAAAACCTTGTTCATTTTGTCTGGCTGTCTCTAGATCTTAAATTCAAATTTGAAGAGTTGCTTGGTTAAAAGTTGATCAAGAAAACGTTTGGGGGAAACGTGGCTTATTTTGTAAGAAAAACGGTGGTCCGTTCTATCGCAACAACCCAAGCCTCCTGGCTAGCTACGGGGGGATCTTTCATATTTGTCTATTTTTAGGGTTTTATTTATATCACGAGGTTATGGATTATATTTTAAGTCACGCTGTCATATCAAACGGAAATCTGGCTTTGCAAACCAGCACCTGGGATCACTAGAGCGATACGTAAATAAACACACAATGCCTCTTTTGCTAAAAAAGACATGAATGTCCAAAGTCAATATGAACAACTTTGGTTCATGATTCGACAAGTTCAAGCGGGCACTGAACCCGTGTTTCATTCGTTTAACAATCATTTTATGGTGGCAAGAACGTTGCAAGAGTATCTATAAAAGTCATGTTTATATCGCAACCGGTGTAAACAGAAAATTACATCACTCGTCCAAAAAATAGATAGCGCCGGTATTAAATTTCTACCACAATTTTGGCAATGAAGCCACCAATAATGATATTGATATGGAATATTAAATAAAAAAGGTGGAGGCAGAGTTTATATCTTCTTCAGCTATATGATACTGTAACCTTAATTGAAGTGAATTGATATTTCTTATATATGATATGATATTCCATATATCATATCAGTTTGATCAACGGGTCTTTGAAAAGTATACAGACTCGGATAAGTTAAAATGCTAAACAGGTTTCTTCCAAGTAGGCGGAGAGGAGCAAAGTGCGACAAAGCGTCATGCTCAAGAACCAGCACCAAACATGCCTTGATAAGAGCTTGCAATTCTTTGTTTCAGCAAAATTGTGAATCAAATACACCACAAAACTGGTAAAGACCTAACAGAAATGTTTAATACTCATTGGCGAATTATTCTCATAGCTAAAACTGCCTCCTGACGATTAACCAACGTCACATGCTGTGTGTGACTAAAATGTGGGGTTGTTCTGGGATGCATAGGCCGTACCCCAACGTAAAATCAGTGTATGTTAATGGAAACGCGGGAAACTGAACAGCGTATTTTTTTCAATGTTCATCAGTTGACTTACGTAACGTGTTTCGGAACATTCACTAATATACCCAACACGATATGTGACAGATGGGTACCCTCCCCCCATTTCCCTATACCATATACATGTACTCGTACCCCCATACTAACACATCCCCTTATAGACATCTCAAAATAATTCCTGAGGTTCTGGTAACACAATGGCCAACACATAAGAGAGGCGGGGGTTGGTCACATATCGTGCTACATATGAGCTGTAAACTAAAGTGTCAAGAGTTAATCGACACTTTAGCCGAAAGTTTGGGCCAAAGGAGCGAACAAATTTCAATATTTGTCAAACAGGTGCGTGATCATTCTGTTGTAATCTACAAATATTTGGCCACTAGAACCTTACCACACCTTCGGTTCGTGACCTGATCGAGGTGTGTGGGGGGATACTTAGTATTGGGTCATAATGGTTCGTCGTTTGAATCATTTTAAAGATGTACTGTCCATGTTCTCCAACAAGTTTGATTTGTTTTTGTCTCCTGACGGAATTCCAACTTGTATGCCTTACAATAAACAAAATCTACCATTTTCCCTTTATTTCTGCATTCGGCCGAGCCCTCTGAAAACCGTAAATAACTGGGTTCTTTTGCAGATTGGCCGAACAAATGGATCGCTTTCCGGTCCCTACATTGTGGATTATGGGTTTTGTGTAACTAAAAGTCATTCATAAATACCTAAGACAGTTTACGTATTCCTATTGGTCGAGAGCCCGTCACGTGGCCGGTCTTAAATGGATGATAAAGACATGGCTAGCTGGTCTTAAACACTTTTCAAGTGTCACAATAAAATGTGGACTCCTAAACATCCAGTGCCTCTTATCGTTTCATTGGTTGAACGTTCACAATCCTCACGCAGGCATGCGCAACACTACCAGGGAGTCAGAATTTTATAGTTCTAAATTCAAAACGCAACGCACCAGGTGCGTTCTGCGCGACATCGCGCAGAACGCCTCCGGCTCGGGTAATTATCAGCACCCAGACTCTAAGTGGTCTTAAACAGAGTGATAAAAACCTCCGGAGCACACATTTATTCCCTTATTAAGAGTCATTGGTTTGCTCTGGCTTTTGAGGGCTAATTAGTTAATTAGGCACCTCGATTATCGTAATTAGGGTCCAAAGTTCGGATGGAGGCTTTTCGGGACATCACAAGTTTCCATGTGCCTTCGCTTTCGCGATCCGGCCTTCTTCGCTTGATGGCAACAACGGCAATAAACTGACGAGTAAAAAATAAATAACACTATAAAAAATTAATTAAAAATCGGATACGGGTGACGGGGGATCACGCATGAAGGGAGGCCCCGTCGATTTTATGTTTAATTCCTGGATTACATGTTCCATGTGTTTTAAGCAATAAAACACATTACATAAACATAGAAACACGCCAGAAGAGGTGTGGGACAAGTCCTAAAACCGAAACCGTCCCAGTACGATCATACTCAAGACACAGATGGAGTTCCTTGCTCTATGGTATGATGTACTCCGATCTCTCTTTTTTATAGTTAGAATCGAGTCGACGAAGCTTATGCAGTTTGAAAGTCTAAAAAGTGTATAAAGGCCTATCTACTCGAGGGAAATCCTTAACCCCCAACAGTTTGGAGGTAGTACATGTACATGTATTTTACTATTCATATTCATCCGATTTGTCAATAAAATATCAAAACTGGACTTTCTGCTACAAACTGCGCTGTGTGTGATGATGACCCCTATTTTTTTAAGTAGGGCCAAACTTTTTACCCCCTAAAAATATGACCAACTGACGACCGCTTTATTGACAAAACTTTATCCACTTTATAATCCTGAAAATGAGGGTGTTTACTTGCAAAATATTGGTCTTGCCAGCTTCAAAGCCAGTTCAAATAATGGGCTTTTTTGGACGACTGTGGATCAGCTGTTCTATTGTATTTCCATGAATGGACAAGTTTGCACAGCAAGGCGATACGTACTGTTCAACTATTGTGATGGTAAGGTAATTTATTGGGGAGGCGGGCATACGATCACATGCACTCCACATGTTGAGTAGCTGATGAGAAGTAGGATCGTTGTAACGGCTTGTGTCATTCAGCAAAGACCGTTTACAGTGTGAATAAAAAGCTTGTGACCTAGACAATCTGGAGTCAGGGGGCGGGGTTTCACCAATGCAGAAGAGGGAGTTGATGACAATTGGAGCAAAACATAAGTGTGACTTTTTGACATAGAAAATTTGTTTTCAGATATTAACGACTAAAACTATTTTACGAAAGACTAGTTCAGCATCAGCACCAATGTGACCGGTCACTTTCACTTACAGCGTACACAGCATATTACCAAAGACAAATTCGAACCCAAATAGGGCCTATGCCTGAAAATTGCGTTGAATTCTTTCCTAGATGAAGATAATGTACGGAAACAATCTTGGAGACAATAATTAAACGACACTGTCAAGAAGCCACCATTTATATAAGGATTTTTAATAAAGACATTTTAATTAATTTTACATTAAAAACATTTACATATATATATAAAAAGACAATACAAATGATCGAGATTACAAAACAGTTGGATGCTGAAAGATTTGAAAATCTGTTTGGTTAAAACCTCACCGACATTTTCTCACACAAAATAATGCGCTCACAAAGGATAAAATGTTTACTCCAACGGTCGCCAAATCAAAACAGTTTTTTTTAATATGCCTTAGGTGGCGGCCTGCACCGACAATTAGTGTAACATCACGCGCCTGGTAACATAATGGTTTTAAATAAATGTACATGTGCATTATGCATTATGCAGTATGCAGTCGGCTCTCGTTAATACGAACTCAGCTGGACCTAGCAGAAATGTTCGTTATATCAGAATTTTGTATTAAGTGGAGTGCTGGTCCCATTCGTTGTGCACATAAATGCACAGTCGGGAAGAAGGTTTTATGTTCGCTATAACCAAAATTTGTAATATTAAACAGTGTTTGTATTAAGGAGAGTCGACCGAGTATAATGCGCCATACAATATTTCAAATAATATCTACCATCAACACAACATCTACCCTTTATTATCGTGACGAATATAAACACATACAAGTTAGTCTTACTGGCAGTGCGCCTCTTATGTTAAAAAAAATCATAAAATACCATGATACATGTACATGTATAGGCCTATATTACAAAATACAAAATTGAATAAAACCGACCTCGGTTAAATATTTTGGTTTAAAAAATGATTTCCTTTAGAAATCATTTCTGTTTTGAATTATACAACTTAAAATGTTCATCAAGCACTGTCCTTACTTGTAAATACACCTTTTCCCCTTAAACTGTCGAAATCAATGACAGCTATCATTGCTTTGTTTCAGTTAACTGAGTAAAACAACAAAAAAGTGATGAAGTTAAATGGCTGACGCATGAAATCATTGTGATATTAAAAATATGTTTGGCAAAAAAGTCTTCACATAATTCAACCGTACATTTTTTTAATATGCTGAACTTTCACAGATAATACCAATCAAGTGTGTAGAAACAAGATGAGGAAAGACGTGTCGGAAAGATCTAAAAGTTCTCTATGCTGTAGCTTTTTCCGTCTTTTCTCGAGCTCAACTATAAAAGCGGTGAGCTTTTAAGGCCAATTACCTTCTAGCCCATCTCTAAAAGAATTTCCGACTTGTTTAGGTGTCGCATATAAAGTTATTTTATCAATTTATACCGCATCAAAAGCCGGATTGTCAGTTCCAGCCTCCTTGCAACGTTCATTGGTAGGTAGGGCCGAATCTTCCCCATTTCTTCTCTTGACTAAGCGCCTCTTGATGCAAGCACAGCTGAGCAAACGATCGAGAGGATCCAGGGAGTGCAGCGGAAGAGGAAGAAAGTCCCAATTCCGGAGGACTTTTGGAAGTATGCGGGGGAATTTACGCTGGAGGATGTTGATGACTACAATCACGATGATGAAGACAAGGATTGGGATGCCTACAGCCAGGAGGGCAACAAAACCTGCCAGGGACAGGCCAAGAACGATAGCTGGAATCACAAAGAAAACAATGATGAGGTACAGGATGGCGAACCACCTGTAGTCGGCAGTCGTGTTCCCCAGAATCTTGGCCAGACTAATGGGCACCTTCCTCATGAAGGGGATCGGATACCAGATAATGATGCCGGAGATGTTGAAGAAGAGGTGGCAGAGTGCGATTTGGAGGGCGTTACGCAGCGAGCCACCAGACGAGGCCAGGGCAGCGATGACACCGGTGGCTGTGGTGCCGATATTGGCTCCCAGGGTCAAGGGGTACATGCGGTCCAAGGTGATGACGCCAATACCGACCAGAGGCGTGATGGCCGAGGTGAAGATGGAGCTGCTCTGCACGACGAACGTCAAGACCGCACCGATGACGATAGCCACATAGCCGGTCAAGAAAGACAGGTACCCGGGGAAATCGGCATTGATGAACTTCTTGATGAGGAGAGCGATACTGCCTTTCAGCATGGAGTGGAGAAGCTTGACGATGGCAAAGAGACAGGCAAAGAGGATGATGATGGAGACGGCTAACATGATGAGTCCCACCTCGGTATCGGTCATGGTAGTGTGGGCAAACAAGTGATTGTAGGAGCCTGTATACGACAGAAAAATAAGTTATTTAGGAACACTCGTGGCCACAATAACGCGTTAACACTGAACACCCCTTTCCCACGACAGAAAACATACTGGCAAAATTCAGGTTTACATCTGTCAACTTAACTTACTAAAAGACCAGTAGATCATATCTGAAGTACTTGCACATTTCATGTGGTTTTGAAATCTTATATTATTTTCTTCAAGCCAATGATCACGATTAATCGATATACACTGTACAACGTTAAACAATTTTAGAGGGAAGGTATTACTACGGAAGTGGTTATATTGACGTAGTTAAACAACACTAAAGTAAAACACTGTGAAACACTGTTCGCAAAATGACTAGTCTGGCGCCTTGTATGTGAAAGAAAAAAGTTGAACCTACATTCTGTGTCCTCAGGATCACAGACTTTGAGAAGTCGAGCGTCGCTTATGTTGATGGCATTCTGGGCAATCTTTGTAATGACCTTTTTGTCAATCTGAAAAACAAATCAAAGAGAAGAGAAATGGTTACGCGAGCATTCACAATGGTACTCAATATTGTTCATGCAAGGTCCATTTGTTTCCTTAGCAACTGTAAAATCAAAAAGTGATTCTATACACGTCAACGTCAACAGGATACACGACAATGTACATTTAATTGAAACAGCCTTCAATCAGAGACATTCAAACCCACTAAGAAACACGCTCAAATCAGTGCATTGAGGCTAAGGAACTTGATATTTTCAAAAGTCAGAAATGACGTTCTGGACCAACAAAGATCAGCTGAATCGTAAAAGAAAAGATTAGAACTCAATTTTGTTTGCACAAAATATTTTTTTTTCGTCACGAAATGTCATCATACATGACGGAACAAAAGTGTTAACAGCCAGTTGTAAAGTACAAAATTGTATCCGACTTGGTTCTGTTTTTCTAAACATAGCCAGCTATACCGAGTATAACTTTACATTTGACTTGAGGCTGGATGACCTGTGATTGACTTAATGGTGACCGACTCGAGAAGATTTTGGGAACTTCAACAGAAACAACTCTGGTATAACCTCTTAACCTACAATGACAAGACGGTTAGAACTGTCCTATAATTTTCCTACGAACACGCAATACCAATCTCACCTGGACGATGAGCTTAGTGAATGGCCCCGTCACAGCCTTTAGAATCTCCACCTCCACGTCCTGTTCCTGCAGGTCCAAGCCTCCCAAGATGGCGTTAGTCAGCACCTCCAGGTAGTGCGAAGCCACCTCGATGGGCAGGAAGATCGCCACCGTCAGCCAGTTGAACATGTCGTGCACCGTGGCGCCGCCGAAAGCTCGCCGGAATTCGTTGCGCTCTTTGGCCTGGCCCAGGGCCACGATGGTGTTGGTGACCGAGGTACCAATGTTGGCGCCCATCACCACGGGGATGGCCTGCCGTACCCCGACTGCCAGAGGATGATACAACGAGATGCCGTGAATGATTAGGGTCTATGCGGCTGCCGTTTGTTCTTATCAGTTCAAGTAAAACACGGAAACGGATCTGCCCTTTTGACTCGCCGATGAGTTTTAGGATTGCCACTTCAGCTTGGAATAATGTCTATTTTGAACCGGTAAAGCAGGGAAGCCATGCTGTACCTTGAGTACAAGGACTTTGTTAAGGATCATACAGAACGTTGCCATTAATAGAATGTTAGCCACTGAATCCTTAATCTGGGTGTTATAATTTAGTTGGCACATGTACATGTATATTGAAGACTTAAAAAACAGGATGTTGCAGACACAGAGTGTGGCGTTGATAGTAATAAGATAACCCAGTTGGTCTTTACCACCTTCAGCAAATATCCTGATTGAAAATCTCTTCTCTACTATATACAATGCAGATCTTCTTCCAGTATTACTAAAAGCTCAACATGTGCTTATGCACTGACGTTCCAATCAAATTGGAGAGATAAGGTAAACACTATGGAAAAGAGTACTCACTGATGGATGCAGACACCATGGCCACAACGATAGACGTGGATGTGCTGGAACTCTGCACCAACACGGTGACCAGCACCCCGATCATGAGCCCACAGACGGGATTACTGAGCAGGAAATGGTCGTTGAGGACCTCCCCGGCTGCGATACCTCCTAAGAGACGGAAGGCCGAGCTGAGGAAATCCAGGGAGCAGATGAACATGTAGAGGAATCCCAAGAGGACCACCAGCTTGAAGATGGTGAAGAGAACGAAGCGAGAGCGTCCAGAACTGGACAGGGCTGTGTTGGTAGACAAAGAGGCAAAGTTTTGACAAAATGATCAGGGACCAATTCAATGGGGCTGCTGAACAAACAAATAAAATTATGCGCTAACTTAAGTACGCAATATCGACATCTGACAGTGTGATGGTTTGCTGGTAAGCTTTTATTGCAAAGCACATATTTTCAGTACTTAGTGCAGCTCCATAAAGTTGGAGCCAAGTATCAAATTCTGCTAAGCAAAGAATTATGACTTTTTTAATGTACATGTATAATGTGCTAGGCAAAAAAAACAGCCGAGGGCCATCAGTCACACGCAAAATTGACAGTCCAGCTGTTTTTTGTTGAGCAAAATTTCTGCGAACGACCGCTGAAAAGAGTTTTTTTAAAGACCTACATGCCCATTTCTCCTCCTCCCGCAACTCCGGTATGGTGGCTGTCCAGGGGTCGTCATCCACCTCCGGCTGTTCTTTCTCCTCCACCTGCGTGTCCTGGGAAGGGGCTTCGACGTCTCCATTCATAGGACCAGGGGTATCAATGAATGAGCCATTCTTCTCATCCTTTGTGAATTCTTGACAAAGATTTGTCTCGATCTGCATTCAATGACAATCGTGGGCTTTAAATTTCCTCCATGCAACTGAATATATAGCCATTAACATGACTGTACCCGAGTATAATTTTTCTTTCAGACCCAAGACTTCTCCACAGAGGAGATAAGCGCTGTTTTTCAAACCCCGGCTCCGGCAACGTCTCAAGCTCCAGCTCGATAATCATTGCCAAACTACTTGCCTGAAGTCGTGGACTGAGATGAAACCTGGGTTAGAGAAACGACCGATATTCCTATAGTGTCATCCACGCAAATCTCTTCCTTGTATCCTTCCAACCATGCAAAGATTCAAATCACATTTTTAACCAATACACAATAATTTAACCCCTTCCGTTCCTGAACCGACGTTCATGTACTGGTCGCCACTATTTTGCTCTTTTGTGCGCGGCAACGTCAAACTGGAACGAAAGTGAGGTTTCACTTGCAAAGAAAGACTCTTTTGCGTCGCCAATATTTTAGTTCCTTTTGTATTAGGTATAAACCAACTCAAGCATTCGGAGTTTGCCCATGCAGGCTCGTTTTCAACCCAAGCCCTTTAGTAAAAGGTATTTAATATTTTACATGCACTTGCTAAGAATCACAATCTTATCACTGATCTCAAGTGAGGCTTCTGTTGCATGTGTCGCAACAAACGACGACTTGCAAAAGAAATTCATAACGCAAGTACGTAAACGGAGAACAAAAATCAAGCATCAAGCGTCGTCATACAGCGATTATGTAACTCAAGCAAGTGGCGTAAATCTGCGCCGGGGAGTAGGGCTGATGGGGGATGACCAAAATCCAAAAATTGGCCCGGCCGTGGAACATCATTTCCACGGCCGGAACATTTTTGGATGACACAAAATGTACATCTTATACTTACGCGCCTAAAGCTATACGGCGCATTTAAAACTTTTGTTACTTTGTGTACTTTGTTTCTCCGTTTTGCGGTGTTATTGAATACATTTTGGTTGTAAAGAAGTTTGAAAAAATACCTCAAAATCCGCCTTTTTTGTTTCTCACTAGGACAAAGTGGGGGTGAGCAATAGCGCCCCCCCCCCCATGTCAAAAAGTCGGGGATATATAACTCACGCCCCAACTTCAAGTATGCTTGAGTTGAAAAACACAGCTATACAAATAAAACATTTGAAACAAGGTGAACCGCCCCCCTCTTTTGTGTTGGTCATTGTGTTCCCCGAATATCAGAAATTCTTTTGAAAACTCGAGGGGAAGTGCTACAATAGTCTAGAGTGTACAAAGGTGCGAGCAGGATTACACCAGCCGGCGAAAACATCAATTCATTTGCACACCAGCTTAACATTGGTTGCTATGTGTTACCATGCAGCACTCCAGACTCAAGATTCAAGGAAATCGGAGCTAGATAAGCCAATGTGAAAACAAATGCCGAATGTCCGCGCCCAAATACAGGATAGACACTGGGGGTACCCATCTGTGTACCCAGGAATGTTTTACAAAAACAGTAACACAATGCAAAATGATGTCTGTTAAAATATGTAATCAATCGACTACACCCGTAGGTCGGTTGTTATACATCCATATGGTTTGTTGATACTATCGAGAAAAGGTTTCACGGTCACAGCAACTTAACGATGGCCCACACCGCTTAGTTGGCAAATAGAGGCTTAGCCTGGCAAATTTAGCCCCTGAATTAAAGGGGGATTACGGCCTGAAATACCCGCAAATAACAGTTTTGGATCGTTTACTTATACAATGTCATGCACCGGTTGAAAGGAAACAAACCTAATGTCTTACTGTTCTCGAGAAAAAACGAAAAGACCGGTTGATTACATCGTGCGCGACGCACATTTTGTGGCATACATATATATTCGTATGCAAGTCGCGTCTATTCAATGTATCGTCTTTGCGTGTGATACATAAATATACAAAGCATAAATATGTTGTTTCTTATTACACGTCCGCAGAATGCGAACAATTGTGTGGCTGGATTCACAACTATAGCATTCAACAGCTCCATTTTTCGGGGACACATTGTGACCGCCAAAATTCGTTCTCGCATGATTCTCGCAAGGATAACACAAAAACGTCCAATTTTTAAAGCATGGTTGTTTGGACGTTTATATTCTACTTTAAATCCCCTTTCCATTTAATATCATTTCGTTTAAAACGCGTATTGTAGCCCAATTGGGCGCATTCCAGGCCGTCATGTCCCTTTAAACTAGTTGTAAACCAGTCGCGGATACCGGTAGTAAACATCAAAATGTAGGCCAAGTCCACATGTTTGTGATGAGCAACATTCTTTCTGTGCGAAGTGAGGTGATGCTCACTACACCTCCATTGCATTGGGCGCATGCACAGTCTGGAACAGATTTTGTGGCAGAAAGAGTAGAAGCAATTGAGACTGTTTTTATGGTTACAACAACTGTCCCCCAGCATGCCCCAACTTTTCTGAAGTCATAATCCTTCGCGTCAATTTACATAACCCGGGGGGGGGGGGGGTTGGAACCCATCTTATTTGAGACTCTTTTGCCGAGACGTTTTAATTATACAGCGTTACTGTGGTGAAACCGGGATGTGTGACAAGTGGTAAATGTATTGACTTCTACAACAGTAGGGTTACGTAACTTATTAGACAAAAAGCTGTGTCCGTGTATATCTCAAATGTTAAGAAAAACGCCCTGATGCCCTTCTGTGCAAGGGCGGATCGGGGGGGGGGCAACGGGGGCCATCCCCCCCCCCCCAAAAAAAGAACCCAATTTATTTATTTTTTAGTGACGTCGCAATAAAGGCAGGCACGTCCTACACCACCATCTTTTCCTCAAAAAAAAATGGTTAAAGTGGTCAGAAATTGCCTCGGATCGCACCACAGAGCATCTAGAATCCAAAAACAATTCAGGGCCCTTAAGCGGGCCCCGAACACCTCGCCGTATTTTTGTACCCACTTTTGAGGGGCACCAACTTTTTTTTTTTGCGGAGTATGCACAGTTTGTACATACAAAAAAACGAAGAATCAAGTTACCGAGAGATCGCTGCATACAATACTGTTGTAATTTTTTTTTACCATACTCAACGGGAAGAAAAAACTACGCTCACGGAAATTCTGACAATTCCATTCTCTAAATAATTAATTCGGGGTGAAGCGCCACGTGTACCAAAATACTACTCTGTGGAATTGAGTCGATGTTTGTCTGCACAAGCAACAAACTACATGTACATGTGTGTACATGCATGTACATGTACACAGGGTATATAAATAAAAATATTCCATAACACAATGATTGTAATTATGAAAAAACAATGTTAGACATGTGGAATTGGATGAATCTAGTAGTACATAATATTCCGGGACCACTTTGTTGGTTGTTTGCAAAGTCAATGGGGATTCTATTATTAAATCATTTTTAAACAATATTCCGAACTTTTTGGAAAGATTCTTATATCTGGCCATCACTAATTTTCCCCTTCAGTGACCTATCAGCCATCAGAAAGTGATCATATGTCCTAAAAAGTCAAATTTAGCAGGGAAAACTTATTGAAGTATTTACTGGAAAAAACAATACAAATTTTCAGACCAGTCTCATACGGTTTGTGCACAGGGTGACAAGTGATGGCCAGACATGGGAATCTTTCCTCGGAATTCTTTAGTCCCAAACAAATTGGCAATTTCTGGTTATATAGTCTATAGATGTCATAAAAAGGGGCATCAGAATACTGACTTCTTAAACAAATTAATGTAAATATTGCAAATACAAAGATACACAATCCCAACTAGGACCACATTTTCTTCGGGAAAACTTGAAATGCCGAAAACACAGCAATTATTGGTTGTGCCATGGTTGTGCAAAGAAATCCATTCACTTATTGACTTGGAATTTGATAAATGTCCACTCCAGAGTTGAACAAAGAGTCATTCCTCTTTCAGTAAGGGGTACAAGCCACTTGGTTTTTAGCATATTACGTATTTTTTTGTTATTCAAAGTGATTGTATCATGCTTACCATGAGCGTCATCTTTGGTTCGGATCAAAATGTCCAGCCTTTTCCAGAACTCCACCGACTATACTGGTACCAGAAGTGAAGACCGGTACTCTATATACACGTACTTTGTTCCCAAGGCGCGATCAGCTGGTGTGCGCTTGTTCAAGGCGGGCATGTGGATGTTTCGTGTTAGCCGCGATTTTATTCTGCAGTGAACTCGTTAGACGATTCCATTCATCGGGGGGAGGGAATAAATATTTGAGAAACCTGCAACTCTTGGTTTGTGGGGAAATCAGGGCAAAACATCATTTCTGTATTATAAAAATACATTGACTTGTGCAAACAGGCTGATGGTGATTCGCCTGTTAGTTTCAGGACGCAAGTATCGAAATCTTATATCAAAATCCCCTTGCTGAACAATCATCCCTATCGTGGTATTAAATGGAATATCCTACTGCGCACATTTTACAATACATGAGAACAGACTGCGCACATGCAGGGACTCCACGCATGTTAATTCTTACGTAGTATTTTAAAGCGAGCAATCAAGGAAATTTCTACTATCTGAATCTGTATGCATATAGCCATAAACTATTCCATCAATCAATCTACCTTGAGATCTACAGTGACTGACACAAAGATCACTTTGATTGCCAAGTGTCAATAAACAACAACAACAACATGAGGGGAGTTTTCCTGATTGCCTAAAAATAACGAAGACAAACTCGTTGCAGTGTTTACCTCTGCTTTAAGAGTTTTGTTTTTGTCCATGTTACAATGTCGATGTCATGATGGCTCCCTGGTAAAAGTTTTGTGCCTCGGCCCTCGGGGGTTTTGGTTTTAGTAGCCTGTCTATAGATATTGCTGGCTTTGTGTCCATGTGATAGCCACCAACCACCATGTGATGTGCATGCCTTATGGCGCGTGGTTGGCGGGCTATTGTTCAATTGACAAAAGAACACAGCTGCTGGTTTTTGTAAAGTAGTATGCTTGCGGTCAGTAAAGAATCCGGATACGTGATCACATGTTCATGGACGTAACACCTCAGGAGGCAGAGCGCTGGCTATTGTTCAAAATAGCCGCCACATTTTACCAGCAGAAACAAACGGGTGTCACACAGGTGCACTCGTCCTGGTAAAAACACTGTGACTGAAGACGTATACTCGATAATATTACCCACTGTATAAGATGAAAAGTCCTTATGCAAATTGTTTTCCTTCCCAATAACTCGAACAACCTAGGCTTTCAAAATTGAAATCACTTTAGATTCAACTAAATTTTGTCCACGGCAAAAATATCAAGAAACAATCAAAAACTCAACGGACGGCTTCAGCGTCAAACGTCAAAACGAAACGCGGTCACAACTAGTGAGAACAGTAGGCCTGTTCTTTATTTATAGGCCTTAATGTATCACCTTGGTATATATATATGAACTCAACAGAAAGTTATTCGGTTCGTTTTTCTCTTACATGTTACATGTGGGCTTCCAAATAAATTGGTTTGAAAAGTGACCAACAAATCATCCACTGTGATGTATGTTTGACAAGTGGCTCAACCCACTTCAGCCAATAATGTCAGTATATAAGAAGGGGACACCCAGGTAAAGTTTACCGAGATTCTGATGTCAGCCGGCGGAATACTTTTTTACGACGAAAGGACTGGGCATATGATATAATAAACAAAATCAGTTTGCGGTAGGAACAAAGTTTGTTAAAATATTTTCGTTTTGTTGACTTTTGGCTACTTTCCACTTCGGTACCATTTCGTTTACAGTTTTGATTGGTGTCCAAAAGAACAAACTTTTTTTTCTAAATCATCTGCTTTTGGCTTTAAAAAATACGAAACTTTTTATTTCAAATATCATGTACAAAATCCCTCCCAAAAGAATGGGACACAATTTTGTGTACACTCGTTTATAGGCATCAGTATAAAAGTCAATGATGAGAATCGATCATTGCCTAACCTTTTGAAAAACTTCAGATATTTTCAGTTGTGTACGGCCTATTCAACTCACCCCCTGAACAATACGTGTCCTCTACACGACCTCGTATCGTACAGAGATCTCAACATGTGGCCTGTCGTGGCGTCGTCACTGGGTATAACCGCATAATTACCATGTCGAAATTTACGTGATGTCCGCTTGATTCATAATACGTGGTACATGATAACTTAGTATGAAATTGGGAACGGATCAACATGCTTGAAATTGTGTGGTTTTCCCCACAAAATTGTTTTTAATTTGCTGAAAATACTTCAGCATGAATCAGTGTTGTAGGTCTCGAGACAGGTCCCGAGACCAGCTTTTTGCGGGTTTCTCAAGGTCTCAATAATGAGCTGGTCCTGGGATCCGTCGCGGGGACCATAACCACCAGTATAATGCAGCCGATATAGAATCACTACCGGTAATGTACAGACAACAAGAACAATGCGCTCTAAAATGTGAAATCAATTTACAAAAATGTTCATGAACCTACAATGAACTTGACTCAGCAACAACATGTTGCTTTTTTTTTATTACTCACACAAAGTCATTTATTAACCGGAAGTTCAGCGGGCTCTTCAGTAGTGAAACATTGGATTGTAATAAGCCATATGAAATATGCACTTGTTAAGTTCGACTCGACTGCTATTGACATTTAAGTGGAAAATAAAATATAATTCGGGATAGAATTCAAACCTATCCACGCAATTACTATCCAAGGAAATATATGCGAATTGATAATGATATTACAGTGTTCAGAACTTTGTCATCATTATCAAAGAATTGTTAAATGTATCATTTTATTAAAGACTTCGGAACTACTTAAAATAAATCCGCTGTATCGGATAATTTATCAGTGCATGGAATACCATGTATGTGAGTACACTCTTCTTTACCTAAACGGTAATTCCCCACATGTAGATAAAATATTTAAAAAACTGATGAGTTTTCATCAGGTCTTTTTACTAGACTCGAAAGATATGTTACATTTTGTTTACAAATTAGGAAAAAAACAGGGGTGGGGCCAGGGGGATGTCATCTTGCAGTGATGTTTTGTATTATTTTGTAAATGTCTGTTTATCATCTGTGTAATTCCTATTTTATTTAAGTTTATTTAAATGATTTTTTTTTACATTCTTACATTTTACGCTTATATTTTTAATTGTACTTTAATAGTAGTTTTGTGTGAGCTGGGATACATGGGAGATCAGTGAGTTTTTCTCACTGAATGGATCACCCGGGACAAATAATAAATAAATAAATAAATAAATAAATAGTAGATGTTGTGGTCACTTACGTATGTGATACCAACAGCCAACTTTCAGCAAAACCATGGAGGTCATGAAGTGTTATTGGTGTCAAAGTGGTCACATAAAGCTTTAAATGTGGGGAAAATAACATGAATAAATTGGCTATCGGTTGCCCGTGAACGTCAGTTGATATACAGTAGCTTTCTTGCCGACATGTCGTGCATCGGCCATCGTACAATTATTTAAAGGTTTTTTTTAAAGATGGCGGCGCCCTGTGTCCTAGTCGCTAGCTGTTGCAGCTCGTTGACTACTTGTGATATCATAAAGCGTATGTTTTGCTAAACGTCTTTATTGATTTGCGTCATATTAATTCAGTTCAATACTGGGTCTATTATCTGAACAAAAGTCGCTTTGGAAACTTCATGGGAAAGTGTCATGACATTTTGGTCCATAGGCCTAGTCGGCAAGATCTGAAAATTGTGTCCGGAAATTGGGCACAAAATGGGCATGGTTTAGTTTGGGCGATCGTGTAGTGTAGGGCCCCTGTTTAATTTAGTATCGATCAAATTAGAGTCAAGAGTGTTTTTCATTTCTCAAAAATGACCTTTTCAACCAAAGGCAGACTTCCATGACTTCTCTCAATTCTAGTGATGCCTTGTTTGTAAGGAAACAGGTCAACTCGTACGCGAACCAACTCGTACGCGAGTCAACTCGTACGCGGATTGGTCAACTCGTACGCGAGCCAACTCGTACGCGTGCCAACTCGTACGCGAGCCAACTCGTACGCGAGCCAACTCGTACGCGAACCAACTCGTACGCGGGCCGCTTTAGGAGTGGTTTCGAGGATTGGGTTGGCATGGTTGATTGGGAGATTGGGAGTGAACCCGTGAATGATGATAATAAAGTAACTGATTTTTGTAGTTAGACGAGTGTTGTATCGTTTTGTGCATACCTGTAGCCTTGTCACGTCAAATTTAATTCCATATATTAATGCAACGATGTACCAGTTGCATTTTTCGTGTTTTTTTAATCAATGTACCTGTCAGTCAATTAATTGTCACCATTGTCAAACTGACCAGATCAAAAGAGATCGATCAGACTTGACAACTGCCTGTCACTCAACTTTCATTGTGGTTCACAACCAATGATCAATTAAAAAGCAGACACGCGGGGACATCCGTAGGCCTAGCAATTTCTATTTACAACTGAAATGCTTGGTATAACCATGGAGGTATAACACATAACACATCAGGGTTCGAAATTAGGGGCTAGACAAACTATTCCTTAATCAGGCCGGTGTGCGAGTGAAAAATTATTGGGATACGGCAAAGATCAACGAACAGAAAGAAAAAAAATCATAAAATTCAAAAAGGAAACCCCTTTAATTTGTGTCTAATTATCAACTGTTTTAAAGGATTAAATTATCTGATCTGTTAATCAAAAACACCAACAAAATTCCCTCGGAATTGCGCTTGAAAATACGCCATTTTGTATCTGAGATAAGAAAAAAATGCGGGCTAGTAGAAATGCCCGTGGGCCAGTAGCCCGGCTGGCTAGTGAACAAAAGAAGTTGAGGTCGAACCCTGCACATTCCGCCCCAATGTAATTGTTCTCTCCTTTTTTTATTATTGTTCTTCCCCAGCCTTCCTTGCCCTCTCCACTTTCATTTCCTCTCCTTTTTAATTCTATCCTTTGAGCCATTTTAAATCTGTTTGAAGCATAACAAAATATATGATGGCCAGTATTAATTTGGTGCAATGGTCCGGGATAAAATGAAAAAAATATTGTGTCTATCATTATTTTTCCCTTGATTTCAAAAATGTCAAACTGTTATCTAACTTCAGTGCTTTCCTCGAGTCCACTCCACCCTATGCCTAGTGCGCTTTCCCGCTGCCTCAGAAAGCCAACAGCTAGAATCACTGAAGTGTGATTGTGACGCCGCGTACGTGTTAAAATCAACTACATTTAATTTGAAAATCTCAACCTTTCAGAAAAGGTAAAATTATGCCGACCTTCCGTACCGAACCTAATTTCATCTGTCCAAGCTAAACCAATCGTCTAAACTCACGCGTACGAGTTGGTCCGCGTACGAGTTGGTCCGCGTACGAGTCGGTCCGCGTACGAGTTGGTCCGCGTACGAGTCGGTTCGCGTACGAATTGTCCCGCGTACGAGTTGGTCGCGTACGAGTTGGTTCGCGTACGAGTTGACCTGTATTCGTTTGTAACAACAGTTTTTGGGGGTCGAAATTACGATTTTCCCACGCGGTTTACAGTTAATGCCGTGCGATTCATCACCCCTTGACTTGAGTGTTTACGGTACATCGGGCAGTGATCGCCATCTTTATTTTCGTGTTGCGTTTTTTCGTTGTTATTGTCATTTACCCCCAAATTTCCCTCAAAAATTCAAAAACCCTGCCCTCTATCAATTACATACCTGCATGTTCTTAATTTCGCCAACTAGTTTGGTAGATCAAATAATTTAAAAGTGGATTTTGTTCCCTTATACTGGGAACTGGGCCCGTAGAAACACAATTGCCCTAGTTTGCAACAGTGAGATCTTTAGTCACTAGTACTTAATCAACCATTTTGTTGGAGACTTTTTATTAATCATGTTAAAATTATGGCAGTGGTGTATTTCTTTTAACATTTAGTAAACGATATTAAGCCAGCATGGCACTGAACATGCGCAGTGACTGTTTTTTGGGGACTTGGAAATATTTACGGTGACAAATCTTAGTCTGATTTAAACCATGCTGTGAGTGTCGGATTGATTGTTCCACAAATTTTAAAATGAATGTCTGTTCCTCCAAACCAACAGAAATTCTAGGAACGGAGGAACTGCCCGCTGCATTACCCATCACAGAAGGCATTGTGGGATACCCATGGTCTATAGCGAACAAATACTACACAGCGCAGGTTGAGATCTGCAGCACACCCGCAAAGACCATCGGCGACGCTGCATTTGCTGATAGACTTGAAGCTGTCATTCTCCTTTGCGATGACAAGGTAAAGCAAATGTCACTGTTTTGGGAGGGAAAGGTGATGGGAAGGGGAAGGGAAGGATTGGAGGAGGGGACACAGAATGAGTTGGGATCTGTAAGCCGTGTGTTCACAAAAAATCTAGTCCAAAAATTTAAGACTCTCAATACTGTGTACTGAGATTCCAAAAACTTAAGGTATTGAAAACATGCATTACAAGAAACTAGACTGGCACCAGTCCAACAACCCTTCAGTACTGCATCAATCAACTGTGCCAAAAGAACCATCTGGCATGTCTGTGGTACTTCTAGTCTCTATTTCTACACATTTCCCCATAGTCGGCCACCAGACTAATGTCACTGAATGAAGAGGTCAATCTTTTCAAACAGTTGGACCATGGGTGGACATGTATCAGTCTAGTCTTTAGCCTCATATTGAAATAACTTAACTATGTGCAAAATATTGACAAAAAGTCTCCTTTAACAATTGAATTGAGTCTTCAAACTTGGTTGGCGAAATACTGAGGACCTTTCCTTTGCCCAATGAAAAGTTTTGGAGAAATTAAAGTTGGCCTAATTGTGTTTTGCTTGTTTTTCAGAACTCAAGGTCCCAGTCTGAAGAAAACTTGTGTAGGCACCTTTGCCCTGAAAATGAATCTGGAATTAAAAACAGATGTGATACATTCATAAACTTATTATTTTTTTCATTTCCATTGCTACATGTAATGTCCCTATTATTGAACATTATCCCTGGCCACATGCCTTTTGTTATTTAGGCCATCAGCCTCGGTCCAAAATTTTTGCCACCGGTGTCAAATGAGGGGAATAATCGTCATAGTGATTTTTGGCAAGGTATACACCTCCAGAGTTGGAAAATATGTGATAGCATTGCAGCGGTGGCAGCTTTTTGGGTATTATCACCTTTTTATCAAAATGTCCATCAAAATGCTTGTTACCACTCTAGGGGCGGTATACCTTGCGCATGCGCACTATAATCATTTATGCCCTGATTTGATACTGACCAAACCCCCAGGCTGATGGCCTAATTTAACAAAAAAGTGAAATCATTCCATGTACTTTGTTTACTCTGAATTTCAGACAAGCAGTTTCGATTCAGTCAAGCAATGGATGCCGTTCATTGACCAACTGTCGCCAACCACTCAGATACTGGCTTGCCAACAATTCACTCTGACTGGAGGTAAGTAAAGTTAAAAAAAATATCTTTTTCTCAAATCTCATACAAATTTATATCAATCTATTACAGACTTGAAGTTTTGGATCATTTCTCTGAGTCATTAATTAGATATCATGATTAACCCTCAGACGCAGGAGACCAAAAAATTTACGTGGTGGAACCACATGGAGAATTTTATCACCACACGTGTTTCTAGATCAATAACCCCCTCATGCACAAGATATAGGGCAGTCACATGGCCTTTGTGTTGGCCAGGATTGTTTACGACCTGTCTGAGCTCTGGGCGGCACGAGGGGTTGACACAGAGAGATCGGTGGCACAAAGGGGTTGGCCACTAAGATATCCAATTACTGCACTAAGGCATTAGGCGCCTCTTGGGGCTGCTGTCTTTCAACACTCCTTACTCTGCAGTGGTTAGGGTCTGGCCAATGGGAGTCTACGGGCTTGTGGCGTATACCAGGGTCGAAGATTACATGGAGTCTTGGCCTTATCGGCCCATTGAAAAAAAAGTTATGACCATATTTGGTAAATGTGGAGAATTTTATCACCGCTTGGCTCTACCGAAGGTTAATTGGCTCTGTCACGGACATTACACTTCCTTTTATAATACTGGAATTGCCCCTATACAGGTATACAAACTGGCTTGTGAATAAAATGTCTTGCTGCATGATGGTACTGTACATACATGTATCCGGTTCGTTAGTGAAAATGGCATACACGCGCGTGCACCACTGATTACTAGCGCCCATTGGATAAACACTCAAGTTGCATTAGCTTCCTGTTCCATTTGTGCTATGCTACAATGTTTGAAGTAGGCATGGTTGAATTGAGATGACATCACACTAACGAACCGGATTGTAATCAATCTAGTAATAAAGCCACCGGGTTTTCTGTTTCAAAAATGTCTGTTTCCATTCGAGGAAATTATAAATTACATTTAAACTGTAACAGTTTGTAAGAAAACCTCATTCCTGATTGATTATGTGTGTTAGATATCAACTGAAAATGACTGGACAGTGTTTTCGGTCAAATAAACAAAACTGCCTAAAGCTGTATAATAATTCCCCTTGGAACTGAAAATGGTCACAGCTTAAGAAAGCCTCATATTGTGAATCTCTGCAGAGTGCTGATTCCAGTGTGTCCATGTATCTGTAATAATGTTACATAACCCAAGATTTGTGTGCCAGTTTTCTTGTGATTTAGTCTTCGGCGTTTGACACAAGGCTGTTGACTTTTGTTGCATTTTGTCGCAGAGATATCCAGACACACAGCCCAACTGTGGTGTTTAGATCATTCCTTTGAGCTAGTGGAGCTGGAACGAGCTGAAGATGAAGAGGAAGAAGACGAAGACGAGTGTAAGACTGGGACAAGTCTATTCTAGGAAGTCTCTCAACTGTTGGCTTATTCACATGAAACAAAAGAACAGTTAAAATTGAAACATGTCATGCATGTAGAGTATGTGAGCGAGACAAATTGTTCATAACAATGAATAAACGTTGTTCCTAAACCTACATTCTTCAAATTACACAAGTGTGTTTTGAAAGATTTTGCAAGATTGAGGAAGGTAGAGACCAGCCAATATGATAAAACCTTAGGTACAAATTATGTGCCATGTGGTTCTAATGCATTGAAGGATTTTGGAGGATTCAGAAAATGCCCAGGGAGTCAATAAAGTTCAAGGTGGAAAAGCACACTGCATCCAGATGCCACAGATATTATACTGAGTCACTAGATCCAGATGCCATAGATATCATATTGAAGTAAAAAATTAATACATGTATTGATAACCTGTTCATTGAACAGAACACTAACACTTGAACCATTTTGAGTCATGTGTATTATATTTTTTCTATTCTATTAATGCAGATGACATCACTGGGGTCAAGCGGATCATATCAGCCCTCCATGCCCACACATGGTCCAATCTGGAGTTGAAAGGTAATCCAATCACCACATTTCCAGCGGTTATTTTTCATGGCGTCAATAAGCAAGAAATGCTGTTAAGAAAAATGCATGTGTTTAAGCAAATTCAGCTGAGCAATATTTACTTACCAGTCAAACAGTGCTGAATTTAATGTCATTTAAGTTATTTTAAATTTACTTCTTCTATCACTGGGTTATTTTCAACTCCCTACTATTCCCCTGATGCTTTTTAACAATTATTTTAATCTCAGAAAGCAGAGGTATTTTTGGTCTTCTACAATCTGAAATGCTAAATGCAAGCAAACAGAATTCCAGTGAAGAGTCCACGCAGCACGGTGCAGTAAACTCAGTACCAGAGACAAATACCCATACACAACCCAGGACAGATGCTGAACCATCTGAAGTATTAGTATGTGACAAAGACAGTGTTGTGTCAAAGAAGAAATTAGATAGTGCAGCCTCAAATGATGTCGAAGAGAGTAGTACCGCTGGAGAGAAGACTACCCTTTCAGAGGATACCACAACTGGTGCAGAGTCTAATTCGTCAGCTGGAGACAGCAGGAGCGACAGTGGAACTGACAGTGCTTCCTCTGGAAAAGGAACAGCCTCAACGCAAGACAGGATAGGTGGGATCACAAATCTGTCTGATCTATCTTTGTTAGTAGTGACTGCTAAATTTTCAGAATTCAGACCGCTTGCAGTGTGGTGAGGGTCATAGGTCAAAGTGATGTGACCTTGCTTCTCGGCACAGGTTCCACCAGTCACCATGTTGAGCAACAGCATATTTAACATGGAAAGCAGTTCTTCAGCCCCTAATTACCTGCCCTGTTCACACCACATGGTTTTCAAATACACATTAAAAGAATTATAATGTCCTTTTCCTATTTGGCTCCATAACCCATTCACGTTTTGTTTTTTTGATGTATCGTATTAGACTTAATTTCAAGACCATTTGAATTTGTTGTTATTCGCATGGCAAACCATTCGCATCCTTTCAAACCGGCTGCACCAATGGTGGCTTCAAAGCCTCTGCATTTTGGAATACAGTATAGTGATATATTAACCAAGTCATTGATTTAGTATTACTTTCTAAAGTGCCATTTAGTCTTATTCAAGTCCATCTCAAGTCAAATCACAAGTAGGTTTACTGACCAGATAGATGAACGGCAACAAAATTGACTTGGGTCATTTAAAGAGTTTGTTACTTGACTAGTGGTGTGCATTTATGGGTAGTACAGGTACCGGGTACCCTATTGAAGTAAACACAGGAACACAGGTACCCAGGTACCCATAAAAGAAACCCAATCCCGAAATTCAAATCCCAGTAGTTGTCTAAATAGCTTTATAGCTTTACAGTGCAAACTGCAGCTTTCGCAAGCGTCATCTGTCATGTGTTAAAATGCACATAAATGTGAAATCTGTCTTGGTTTTCCATGTATCCCGGTTTCCACTTTGAAAGTTTCCCACAAATGGCATTCAAAACCTTTCTTTTTCATTGTCTGAAAAGTTACTAATTTATTTGTGAAGTTGGTTACGGGTACCCGATTCCATAATCTGGAACCAGTGTAGCATGAATTCAGGTTTTATAAAATATGGACTCATTGGTGTTGCGCATGCTCATGTATAGATAACTAGGAGAAGGACTGGTGAGAGGGTTTAACCAATAAAAGGGGAAAAGAGTCCAATTTTCATTTCATACAAGTCCGATTGTCATATGACACCAGATCCCGACATCAGTGGTCGGGTACCAGGGTACCAGCCTGGGTACCGGTTCCGATGCACACCCCTATACTTGACTTCAGACTGAATGACTTGTGATTGAATTGTGAGAACTTGAATAGATCGCTGATGAATTTCACCTATATTTGCATTTTTTACTTCATTGTTGTGTTTTGGTTTCACAGACAACCTGCTGAATGATGACATGCAGCTGTTCAGAGCCTTAGGGAGCGAGGACCCCGGGGAGGAATCCTTCGAAGGATTATTTGCAAGGATGGCGGCCATGAAAGGTGAGCAGGCAGTCGGATATAGCAATGAATTTGATGACATCCATGGCCACAGATCGTTGCCAATCTAGACGGTATTATGAACAATCAAATTAGGTTTTGCCCTTCACCGACGAAATATATTACACTGTATACTCAATGTGTTACTTCCCAAGTGAAAGTTGGAAAAAAATCACTCTGGTGGGACTCGAACACACGACCTCCTGCTTTCTAGTACAGACGTCTTAATACCACTCGACCACAGAGCTAACGGGATTGATTGGCTGGCTCGAATCTGATGTACATGTAGCAGCGGTTACCCTCTGCACTAGAAAGCAGGAGGTCGTGGGTTCGAGTCCTACCCGAGTGATTTTTTCCACCTTTCACTTGGGAGGTAACACACTGACTGAGTATACAGTGTTTATACGTCGGTGAAGGGCAAAACCTAATTTCATCACCCTGACGCAAAATTCCATCTTATGAATGGATTCTGTGAACAATCTTAGGAACTCTGTGCAGAAACAGAAGATATCTGCTGTGTAACTGCTCGTGAGGGCTCTAGTGTGTGGGGAACATGTGTACACAGTGGATTACACAGATCTGGTGCGGAACATGCAAAACTAATTATGATTTGAATGATCACAAGTTCTTTGTCTTGAACTTCTATTCATCTAGAGAGGGCAGCAGGTTTGTCTGGAGAGGAGCGCAAGAGGTACGCTGAGAAGGTTGCCGTGTCCTTCTGGAAAGCTCTAGGAGGGGATGATGATGAGGTAGAAGGACTGGATTCAGATTAACGCTTGGAGTATTTGAGATGCTACAATGTACACACTTCCAACAAAGAAAAATCACCTAAACACAATTTATTTATTATTTCTATCATTTTCCAATGATTCTTACAGAATTCATCAATGTCAGTACAAGAATGGTTAACATTACAAAATCATTGAAAAAACTGTATACATGTATAAAAAGTGAAATGGAATGTCATTATCAGCTGATGATTCACTTATGCTAAGTGAAAAAAGTTTGGTTATTTAGGGATGTACAAATACAATGAAATAAAAATGGACAGCATTTTGGGATAAAAATACATGTATGATGACGAAAGCACAATAACTGATATTTCAAGGAAACAACCGAAACAAATTGTAAGTAGTCACAAATTTGAATAATGCAACAAAATTGACTTCAAACTGTTGTACATATTTATTTTATAACCATAGTTCATTGTTTTACCACTTGTTTTCACAAAACTGTATTTGTATACATAAATCTTGACTAATCCTTTTGTTTTTAGATTATGTGATGGAGTGACCAATGCCATTGATAACTTTGCCTTTTTTTAGCCGTGGACTACGCTTTGTAACTTTTGGACTGCTCAGAATTATTCTACACTAAAGAAATTTGCTTGAAAAAAATGACACCAAATACACCCACCATTAAATTTTGTTGTGAATGGTCAGCCTTCTGCTATATGTCATATTTTGATGCTGTTAACATGAATTAATCACTAAAATACCTCAAAATCATAACCTAGTCATATCTGGAAACATGAAGTTCTAGCCACTCAGTAATTGCTAACATTGTTTTTACATATAATAATCCTATAATTAATTCCTCATGAGGTATCTTGCTCTAAAGCTAATACATTTCTTTTCCTTTTTTTAAGTTTAAATTAAACAGCCTGCTTCTTTTGACTTTCCGCTTAAAGATAATGTGTTGATGCAAAATCTGCTTGTTCAATTTTTAGTGTAATTTTCAAAGCTTTGAAATATTTGAAATAAATGTATGTAATTATAAAGAAAAAGAGGAGTACATTTGTACTTAAAAATATTACTCTCGAGTGTTGCACTTTATTTTCAGCACTGCAACTGATAGTTTTTTATTCTTCGTTAAGTTAACGTTAAGTTAACAATGTAGTACAGACACTAATAGAGAACTATGGATCGACTTAACTTTACCTATTTACTGTGGAAAATTTGTTCCGTGCTCTGTTGATTCTCTCCAATCATGTAATGCAAAATATTTGTTTTACTGTTTCGAGTTTCGATTTGCATACCAGTTCAAGAGAATTGCAGACATTTAAGGAAAGGAACGTCGTACATGCATCTCTCAGAGTGCATGCTTCTCATATGCTGGTGTATAAAATGAAATCATTGATTTAAGAGAAACATTGTAATTAGCTACGAGTACCGATATGGACATGCATGTACATGTATATTGCATTTATTTGCTGTATGGTAAGAGAAACATTGCATGTAAGGCAGCCACAAGTAGCGATATGGACACCATAGCGTCCATTTGCTGAATGGACAGCCAGATGCAGTAAGCTCAGGCAAAATGAAACTGTAGGAAGAATGATGTTCGTTAGCGCTTCACAACCATAGAGTACTTGGGCAGTTTTGGGCGGTATAAGGAATAACAGGCAGGGCGCTTTGGGGCAGTACTAGGACTACTGGGTTAAAATGCACCAACTACATGTATATGCTCCTGCATGGAAACACTAGACTAAATGTAGGAGAACTCATGAACTAAGCGGCCGGTTGACATCTTTCACTGGGCAGCAGAGGTCGCTGGTTGCCGGTCTTGTCGACCGACTACTTCATTTCAAGGATGATATTGTCATTCATCGGATGATTCAGATTGCTTATTTCCAAGATCTGTTGTGGGAAATAAACCAGAAAATGTTTACATGGTAAGTCAGTTGGGGATATTGCTCTGCAAACAATATTGAACTTTCGTCTTTCGTGCTGCAAAATATCACTACTTATGTTAATTTGATTTTGTTACTGCAAAGATTTTGAAGATCCGATAAACCGTTACGACAAAATTCCACAAAAGATGTGGGACATTCTGAATTTCAGGGTCCAAGTTTTTGACACTTCCCTGTCTCTGTTACCTCTTTAACTTTGTAACTTGCCATTTAAATATCATTGTAGGCCTATTTGACTTCACACTAGTTCATTTTATTTAATGGATAGTGCATGCAGTTTGTTTGAAATAATCAGTCTCGGAAGAAAAAAACATTAACCCTAACTCCCTAGCATAATTTATTATTATTATTATTTATTCGACCATCACAAAAACAAAACAAAATTGAGTAAAACGTGCATAAAACAACAACCAACAAGTACAGTATCAAAATGACAGCCAAAAAAAGAGCAATGGGTTGAGTTAAGTTACCGATAAGAATGCCTGCTTGAGGGCCGTAAGGAATCGAGGAAGGGAGTCGACAACAGCTGAGTCTTTGACATGAGGCGGTAACAACAAATGGTCCATACCTTCCAAAATTTACTAGGAACCATACCCATTCTGGCAAATTCCAACACCCACACAGGATATAGTTCACACACACTGTTGGACTTAGCTTCTGGAGGTATGCCAAACCCAATGTAAAAGACCATCAGTTTAGGGGTAGTACTGTACCTATCCAACAGATTCTGTTGGTGGACTTTGATTGGTTGAGTTCGGTTAGGGTTAAGGAGTGCACCCAGAATTTACAAAGTCATTATGTCAGATGTAACATATACCAGACAAATATGGACCAAACTTATAGAATGACCCATATGAGCATGTCCTATCTAGATTGGGGTGTGTCTTGGTAAATGGATACCTGTAAGGGCAGAGATGGTTTGTGTGTTTAAATTATCTGTTTGTGCAGAAATGGCGCTATTCACCTTTTTTATGGGCCCGCTCAAAAGAGCACCTCAGAAAAACTAGCAAAATATTGGGGATAAAACAAAAACAAAGACCCAGACCTATCATAAATAGAGAAGGAGTAACATTAGAAAAAAAAGGATGTAGGCCTAAGGCCAAACAGTATATTAATTCAACATGCATGTATATTAATTCAACATGCATCAATTCTTGCACATTGCACTTTGATCAAACTGTGATATTAATATTGTTTGATTCGACAACATATTTTCATCCTCACCATGTTGAACTGGTCAAAGTTCCATTTGCTGGAATCCAGCGCTGAGTTCTGATACATGATCTGGGTGACCTGGTCTTGCACTCCACTAATCCTGATGTCATCTAAGACGTGGGTGTTCATCAGTGATGGATTCGGATTAGTGATGGTGGACTGGATGACTCCCTGAAATTGGGATAAGATTTCAAGGTTTGCATCGTGAAGTAAGCAATAACAGTGAGGCCGTGTCTGAATCCTGTCTCTGAAGATATTGTCTATAGGTCTTTGCCCATTACAGCGTATGTGGGAATAAGCTTACATTAGATGTAGCCACAGCTCTGGTAGCCCGTTTCAGACCTGGCCTAGGTTTAAAACATGGAAACTGCTTTGAACATAGACAGTGACAAAATGGGGAACCGCCAACATTACGCAGAATAGCTCAGTTGGTAGAGCACCAGAACAGCAATCTGGATGTTGCAGGCTCAAACCCTGCTCCAGTCAATTTCTTTGTTCAACCTTAACATAATTATGATTCACCTAAAAGTAGTCAGTTTCCCTGTGTGGTTTCTTTGAAAAGTTATAATAAAAAGCCGTATTCTCTCTGAGTGATCCCCGTTTGCTCTATCCCGTGTAATTGCAACATAGCAAATGTTTCTAGCATCGTAACTTTGGGCGTGATCCCTGGCCTGGCCACATGACATATAAGGGTTTATGGCTTCTGACCAGCGCACCTTCAACAAAGACATTGACAGAGTGGGCAACCGCCAACATACTGCTATCAGTTGATAGAGCACCGGACGGTTACACGGAGGTCGCAGGTTCAAACCCTGCTCCAGCTTATTTGCTTATTCAACCTTAAAATAATGAAACCTCTGTTGCGAGTTTGTGTGGTTCTTAAAAGAACCAGTGGAAGCAAGACGGAATCTGCGTTGGGGAGATATAAATTCAATATCGGGTTTTGCCCTTCACCAACGTGTTTTTATAAGCCGATCTGTATATCATAAGATCTTCCATGTCGCATGATGCAACTAGAACTGCAAATTCACTTTTGTCCCAGATGTATGCACAAAGCGGTATAACATTGTCAGAGAAGACTGGCGCTGAAAGCAACATACAAGATTGCATACAAAATTGTCAACAACGCAGAGATAAGGTTACACATTAAGTGGATTGATGGGTTTGGTAGAAATTACGGGGGAAAATTAATACAATACAGATACAGAATCACTTACATTTCCTGCAATGTAGTCCACAAAGAAATAGTCGCCATTAGTAATTGTATCTGAATAGACAAAACACAATCATTGATATGTAAATATGCTGCACTTTTAATTATCCAAAGGAATAAACCGGCAAAGCTGTAGAACATAGGCTGGCTTCGTGACGTCTCATCTCGTCATTTTAATGTGATTTAAGTTTAAACGAAACTCTGCAACAATTTCAATCTCTGAGGAAGTGAATCACATAATTGTTGTTCCTACCTTTTGTTTCGCCATCATCCCAGAACAGATTTCCCTTGGCCTTCTGAGATGCATCAAGTGCTACAATCAATCCAAATGGGTTGGCACGACTACAAAGGGAGATCATAACAAGTACATCGAGTAGTTTGGATGATGAGCAAACTAATAATGATCTGAAAACAGTTGTCTGGTGTATTTTTTTTTGGGGGGGGGGATGTGGGAGGCGGTCGCCACCCGTCCCCCTCGATTCGCAGGCGAGTCACTGCTTCGTGGGCGATCAACCATAACAACCTAAAATGCATGAGCAACTGGTTAACACCAGTTATACATATGGGCGTCGCGAGGGGGGGGGGGGCGCAAGGGGGGCGCTTGCCCCCCCCCCCCCGGAAACCCCCCCCCCCCCCAAAAAAAAAAGGAAGGAAAAAAGAGGAAAAAAAGAAAAGAAAAAGAGGCGCGAAGTCATAGTGCAATAGTGGTGTAAATTTAATGAGTTGGGGGAGGGGCAAAATGTCCCTGCCCCCCTCTAAAACTGAGAAATCGAGAATATGTTGAGAAATACAGGAATTTTTTGGGGAAAAATATGTTTTGCCCCCCTCTAGAAAAAATCCTTGCGACGCCCATGGTTATACACCCTTTGCACTTTTATAGTGGTGATGCTATTTACATGGGGGTCCACCTGATGTCCCCCAATATTTATGTTCCCCAATACCTATGTTCCCCAATCCTTAGGGTTAGAGGGTTAGGGTTATGGGGAACATAGGTATTGGGGAACATAGGTATGCACCCAGTTACATGTACATGCAGTTGACATGCAAGGACCTACTTCAATAATAAACATGCATCTGATGGAAACGAGATTGTCCGAATCATCTCCCCCCCCCCCTCCCCAGTCCCCCTCCCCACCGGTCAATCCTGGCAAGCACCACACCCATACACACCTGAACACTGTTGATTTGGCTGGTTGCTGGGTAGGCAGAATATACCCGCCCCTCACATGTAAGTTGATCTCGTTCATCGGCGTGTACATGCTGACGTGCTGATTCTCCTGAGTCCGAAGGAGCTGGTGACCCTGAAGCCAATGAATGGTGGAGATACTGCACTTGTGAATGACGGGTCTTGGGTTAGATTCACACCAAACATCTGAAATTGGTGTTTATCGTCTTCCTTCTTTTGTTCTTTTGCATGAATGTACTGAGAATTTCCATTACCACAAGCTAAACCCGGTACCACTTATATATTTCTGTGTAGAGAGAGATGCAAGTGGTCGAGAAGTGGCCTGCGCAAAGACACAATTCTCATTTGGCAAGCAGCAGGTTTAGAACCACTAAACCTTCAGCTATGAGTCATGTCCGAAATAATGTTGTTGTCTTTTTGGCTGAGACCATTTGAACAAATGACCTGAGCAGGCGATTAAAACAATTTGGTGATTTACTCTAAGGCGGGAGGTTCTTTTCCAACTGAGACTTGTTGCCGCAGCTTACCGTTTTGTAGACATACCAAGGTCCCTCTGGTATATACACGTCCACTGTCTCCATATCCTACATACAAAACAGTGTTCATCAATTGTTTTATTTCCATTACACACTGTCCTATAGATATCTTAATCACGGACTCTTTTAGAAAACTTTCTGGTATATCTGAAATTCCAAAATGAAATAAAATGGAAGACGTGTCATGCCATGGAAGTTTGTTTTTTCTTCTAAAGTTTACACCTGCTACAAAGTTTGCAAACTTTGGAGACAAGTTTAACCAATTTGAAATGTGTGCACCTTACAACAATTATCCTCCTCATGTACCTCATGTATTTTGTTGTGGTCAAAAGAAAGAGGGGATGAGGCGAATGTGATTTAAATATAATTCTAAAATTAAGCCCCTTTCACTCAAATTACATCCGGAGCTTATCAGTATTCTTCACAAAGAATAACTATGTGACTCAGAAGTCAAGCAATTTGATTTTTGCAATTGTAATTCTGGGCTTTCGGCGTGGTTTTATCAGTCACAGATACAGTTGTTAAAGGGAAGATACAACATTTGCGAACATCAAAAAACAAAATGATCAAATTACCACGAATTTCTTTACTGGACTGTTAAGGAATGACAGTCTAAAGCATCCCGTACAATCATGCACTCGTTATGAATGTAGTCATCCTCTAAGAGTGATTATGAATGGCAAACTAACCACCAACAAATAATTGTGTAGGTTTGAATTCATTCTTAATAATACTTGAGCAGCATATCACAAACTGCCAAGGTAACAGGGACAGGAAAAATGGCACACGTTGGACCCTCAGTTATAGATTGACCCACATAGCGACAAAAAAGAGCCGTGGAAGTTGTTCTTGGTAAAAAGAATTCCTACCTTGTCGAGTACTGGACTGATGAGTAAGGCTGGGCCCCACAAGAACTGACGATCAATGTCCCACGTTGCACTGTCTGAAGTGAATCTGCAGTAATTCATCACCGAACGACTCATTGTCACTTAATACATTCCCATCAAAATTTATATCCAAGAGCAATATGACAAATGTCACATCGGCGACGCAGGGATTTTTTTAAGGGGCAAATGGATGAGGTGTTGCAACCTTCAAAGATTTCTTCAAGTGGGAGGGTGGTTGACCGATCTCAAAGGTCATTATGTAGCAACGAACTGATATTTGCAATAATTTCTTATCACCATAGTGACCATACTTCAGTGGAGGATATGCTCGATTTCTTCCAGTAATGTGTAGGTCTAAAATGAAGAATTACCGGTAGTATTGAAAGAGGAAGGGTTGGTTAGCGACCTATAAACAATCCCAAAATCAGCTCTTGAATGTTAACATCATTTGGATTATCCCAAAATAAGACTCATCTTAATAAGATCAGAGATCATAGGCCTTGTCAGTTCACGATCAGTTCAAATCAAACTGAGATATCAGATCATCAGATATATCAGATATCAGATCAAAGTAAAGATTAGTTATATCAATCGAGGATTAATAAGATAATCATATCAAGGCAAGATTTTGACATTCGATAGAACACTTTAGCTTCAAGAAAAAAAAAATCTAAAGTACATTTTCTAAAAAAACAGAGTAATACAGAACCGAAGATAGTTATTCAATGTTTAGAAGTGAAGTAGATAAATGCATTTTTATAAGACTGTGAAGTTTAATAATGATCAACATATCTTACTCATGCATGAGCGGCCTGACGACAGTGGAACCCATGGTGTGTGCCTCGTAGAATAATGTATACAGGTAGGGAAGCAATGTGTAGCGTATCAGGAGAACGTCTCTAGTATCATTAGCGAACTGTTCACCAAAGGCGGCTGGATCCTGAGGCTATAATGAACCAGAGAGTGTACACGTGTCAATGCAAAGAAGTGAATGAAAAGATAATATGATCTTGGCAAACAAGGGGTTTTGCTACATGCCCCCCACGAAACCCGGACAAGGTTGCAGCTGTTTTGGTACAAAGTGCATGTGAAGTCATTTATTTTGGGTGGAATTGACCATTTTGAAGTTTTGAGATTTTCTTAGACAGCATCTATATACAACCTCCGAAAATATGAATATTAGTCTAGGCAATATTTAAAAAAGGACTCATTTAGGACAAGAAGAGGCATTTTTGAGTAGAAGTTGGTAACCTATCTATTTTACCTAATTTGATGGTGCTGAATCCAAAAATGATGGCTACCAAGCTGGATTTTTAGTAGAAAATATGCCTAATTTGCATAAATCTTTAAAACCTGTCGTGTAATATATTTGTTCCCATATTTGGGAATATTTTGTATATATTTTTTGTTCAAGTTTATTTTGGTGATTCTCCTTACACCTCCTTTCTTCAATAACATTTTCTACTCAGATAAGTGACTGAATGATTATGAAGATATCATCAAGTAGTCCCGCCAAACGTCAGTACTGATGAGCTTCAAATTCACAAAGTTACTTAATCTAGCTTGTAATATGCGAGGGGTAATCCTCCCCCTACACTCTAGACTATTGTTACCCAACACTTCCTCTAGATATCCTAAGATTCCGGGGACGCAATGACAACACTAAAGAGGAGGGTTCCCAACCTCGTCCCCAGTGCTTACTTTATTTCCAACCTCGTTTCCAATAGAAAGCCCTGGATAGGAACTTTCTTCCCGTATTCTGATTCGATACCCGTAATGGATTTATATCGTGTACTTGGTGTTGTTATTTCCAACGTGCATTACGTGTTTTCACGATCACTGTAATCATAACGTCCGTACGTCTTCTCAAAAATACTCCTTTTCCATTCCAATTTGTTCATATTAATATGAAATGTGATACTGCATATTGGCAGGAAAAGATTGTAACATTTTAACTTCGAAAACAATCGTGTTTTCGTGACTCACGGCGTGGCGAATTGATGCTGTTTTTATTCCAGACACCGCATACAAAAACAAACGCTAATGTAACGCATAAGCAGGCACCAGACTTTTCCTCATTTGCATATGTGTTCAAAAATCTTGCACATGCAAATGATCCAACACCACGATGAGAGAGCAGGTAGTGGTGGGCGCGTACTGCTCGACACCCTGGGGACGAGGTTGAAGGGTTCCCTTCGTCGAATATCTTGCATCAAAATGGCTGTTATCGTCATAATCATTATTTCCGACGAATGGCATTTTTCACCTAACAGCCCCCTCTCCCCCCCCCCCCCCAAAAAAAAATCGGAAATACTCACGATGTTATTCAAGCCATTGTGGTTTCTGGAAAAGGGATAGAATGCGCCCAGCTGCATCCAGCGGCGGCACATACCGATGGTGGTGTTCTGGAAAAAGCCACAGATGTCTGCGCCGATCTAGACCCAGCAAAGGAGACACCAAAATGATTACATCTCACAGAAACAAGGAATATAATGATATTATATAGTTGTCATGTGAGTATTGAAAGCCACGTAGGATTATTTGCAATTACCCGGAAATGTATACCTTCCGATTTAAAGGGGATGTACAACATTTGGTATTGCTGTAATTTTCAGAAATGGATGGATTTGAGGGGTTAGTTTTTCATATAGCAAATATTGTTACACTGATTTGTTTGAAGTTTTGAAGGTATTTCACATTAATTTGGTAGTTTTGTTTTTTGATGTTTGCAAATGTTGTATATTTCCTTTAACGACAGAAACCTTGCTCAAAGTGAAGATGGGACAGGATATTTAAGGTGGTTTCGAAATATGAGGCCCAAAAAAACTGTGCATGTGTTTTCTCAAAATATATCGTGGCCAACAGATTAGTTTTTATGTACTTTTGTGGCTTCAAACGAAAAAAAATTATACAAAAGCAAATGATGTTATTATGAATACCCGTACCTTTATGGGCAGACCTACGAATAAATTAACTGATCATTTGATAATTGACGACGGTTACTTACGTATGGAATGCCAAACAGGTTGAATTCAAGCATCCCTGGATAGGAAAACCAAATAACATTTTAGAGGAAGGTTTATCCATGTTTTGGCAAACACCAAATTTCTACTTTTCTAGCATGACGTAATTACTTAACTTCCCGCTCCTATAATTAAACCTGTATAGGTCTATTTTAATTCTTGCCCGTTCATATTGAAAACGATGTTTTAGACAATGAAAAAAGTGGACCGTGAATGCCTTAGTTTTCATCATTAATTTGCGGACAGGAAAAACGAAATAATTAATTTTATGTAGATTAGGCCCATATATCTTTAACCAAATTATAGATTAAACATATTTTAAAATCCTTTTTCTTCATTTATCAAGAACATCTCGAATGATCACAATGAAGTTTACGTTATAATTGGTGGGAAAAACATGTACTGCGCTAAAAAAAAAAAAAAAAAGGTGTTGCACTTGCAATTTATTGGGTTTTGTTCCCTTCAATTTTATTTATTATTTTTTGAATCCTTGTATAGATGGATTTCTTAGATCTCACCGATGATAGACTTGTGCATATCGGGCCACTTGCTGGTATTATCCCCCAGCCAATGACCGATGTATTTGCCACTGCCTGGGTAAGTAGACCGAGATATAACAATGCCACGCTTGCCTGTCGCTGCCTCGTTAGCCCTGTGAATTTATATAACAGACAAGTCAATTAGGGCCCAATATCTCCAATTATGAGCACATCCTGTACCTATACAGCTCAAAACAAAGAAATTCTGCTAAAAAAATCCATGGGCGTGGCGATGTCCCCCACCCCGAAAAAGCCCACACCCACCCCCTGAAAAAAGCATGGCTACCTTTCAACCCCTGAGACTGTCAGCAAATTTTAGAGTATCCACGTATACGTTACTACGTAGTGTGGACATTCCTTTGTTTTTGCGTAGTTAAGAGCAACCTGTGAAAAAAATCATTTAACTCACACTGTGAAAACTCTTTCAACCCAAGTTGTTTTCTGTGATTCCCTTTAGTGTTTCTCTTCATTTTGCCACAGATAAACCTAACCCCAAAATGCTTCTTAACCTGTTTTCCAGAGAGGGGAAACACTGTGTGGACGTGGGCAAGTCCGCACAACGTCGCTGCTATACCTAGTTTATGTGGACCTCTTTTGTTCGGAAGCCCACACAGTGAATGTAACGCTTGTACACAAAACACAGCATTTCCGGACGAAAACTGCTCTTGTACTCGATTATCGGCTACAGTACATTTCAGATCTCTGACCCAGCGATACTTTGCTTTTAACCATTTGTCGACCATACCTAAGTGTGGGAGCAGATTGACTCCACCCAAACAGACTATGCATGTTATAATGCATGGTCGTATCTGATGAAGTACGGTGCTGCTTAGCATCCATACATATGGTCTTGTCCGTAATGGTTCCATAGATCCCTGGGAACAAAAACATATTTATGAAGCTATCAAATTACGTAAAATGTCATTTCTGGAACACATTTTTTTTAATGGTAATGTCGCGACGGTTTGGATTTTTACTTCCTCTGTACTAAACAGGGCCACATCCGATGTAATTGTTTTATCGAATACGATGTCTTTGGTGTTTCGGTTAATAAAAAAATACTTCATAAATAAAAAGGAGTCTTTCAATTGTTTTTGTCTTTTGTGATGAGGCTATCTTTATTCATCATGAGTCCTCATAAGTCCTCCTAAGAAAACAAATCTTCTAGTGTCCAATCAAAGAAATCACAAGCTATATATTCAAACGAACTGTGTCGAAAGCAGCCCTTTGTAATTATTATTGTTTAAGAACAATCATGAATCCCTGTTGCTTGATCATGTAAGCCTTACCGATATGTGAAAGGACTTAACTGGACATGCGATGGACTCGACTAGAGTACTGTATGCTGTCGATGCATCTCGAGGATCTAATTATGTTCTACCAACTTGGAGTGATGATGAATGAAGACAGACGTTTAGTAAAGCCGAAGGGGGGATGGATTGGTATGAACTTACTCGGTTGAAACGGTGGACGGTTGTATTCGTTTGGTTCGCATCCCTCCGTTGATCCTTCGACAAAATTTGCCGGCTCATTCATGTCCTAACGGGAGGCAATGGTTTTCATTACTATTTTTTTTTTTTACATATAATGCGCGATATTCATTCCAGTATTTATCATTCGACCAGCACTTTCAATTTAGGGTCTATTCTTATAGCAAAATCTGACAATATATTACATAACGACTAATTACAATTTTAATTTAATTTATATCCAATGGAATACATGTAATTATAACTTTGATTTTGTATGTGAGGAACAACGTTGAATAAAGTTTTTAGCAAATTGAAAACTTGAATTGTTTTTATTCCATACCTCATTAGAAAATTAATTATTACGCTACAAAAAAATGAGCAATTCTATTGCAAAAGTGGCCACGCCCGAAAAGCACAGTCATAACACCTTATGAACCGTCATTCTATGGAAACAATTGAAATTATTCGGAAATAAAACAAATATTAATAGTTGGATCATAGCAGCATCATACTTACGATCCAGATCCCATCAAACTTGATTCGGTTATAGAAATCGGTGATTTGATTGGTCCACCATTGTTCTGTACTTGGTTTGCTGAAGTCGGGGAAGGCGGCGTGGGCACGGTAATTCTTTCAAGGAAAAAACAAAAACAAAAACAGTGAAACTTAGGCCTATAGTCAATTGAAACTTTGACAAACTTTCCTAAAATACATGTATTCTAATTCTTCGATTTTAAATTCGTTACCATAACCCCATAAAATGACAATATCGACATCGTTGATTCAGCTAGTTATCACTAGCGCTCATAGAAAGTCAAGATTTTAAAACAAGGTGTTATTAACTTTCCCGCTACAGCACATAGTCGACTATGGTTGGACTAGTCGACTACAGTTGGACTAAAAGTTCTACTGGCCTGGTAATGTTGGTCTTACCGCGACTTGGTAGTCCCATTCTTGGCTGGTGTCCACAGTAATGTTAGGTAGATCTGGCCATACCTGTCACGAAAGAAATTGAAGAAAATATAAGCCTACTTTATGGGCTAAGTTTCACCTCTTCCTGTCGTCAATGTTCACACGCGTCATAAACGTTTACACTTCACGAGAAATCTGTTTCTGTCAATCTCACGAATGATCGGACTTTATCATTCGCTTATGATGTGTGGGCCTGTACTTTAAGCAAACTTTGTACGTCCGAAGATTAACTAAAGCAAAAAAAAAATTCGCCGATTGCCTACTTAACTTGTTCAAAGGGAGGGGGTTCGGATGAGGACTTCAACTTGTCGTATATATATATATATTTTTTTTTTTCAGTCCGGGCGGAAATATCGTTCCTCCGTCGTTTTCTACATGCGATGGCCAGCAGACAAATCAGTAAAGCAAAAAAAAACCACACAAATCTTTGCCGACAATTGAGATGTGGTCAATCGAACTAACGCAAAACATGCGAACAATTTGTTAAAAAAAAAACAATCTAATGAACGAACAAACTATCAAATTAGGAAACGAACAAATCACACAGAAAAACAAGCAAACTAACAAATAAACATACAAAACAAAACGAATAATCTGACACAGATTGTATTAGTACAAAGTTATGCTCCATTCAATGCGCACGTGCAATGCGCACAAGGAATTATTGACTCCGGGTCACCGGTAAAACAAAATATTATATCTATTAAAAGTTCATAGAAATGATAGGTTACGTCCAGGACCCTATAGGCTTGTGGACGAGCGAACACTGTGGACCTTTCTATTGTTGCCACAAAGGTATTTAAGCCTTGGTTGGCTACAGAGTTTACCAAAAGTGTCATCTTCACACCCTCATTATGTAAGAAGAGAGTATTTTTTATAAAAGTCTTTTGTAACATTTGTTGGGGGTTTTTTTTCAACAATCCGAGAATATGTTTTGAAACATTAATAACTATATACCTTATTTTTGCAATGTTGGACCTTCCATAGTTTGCCAGCCCGTGGTTAACAAAATGTGCTAAAGCGGGATGGCAATAGAAAGGTAGGTCGATACACCAGTGAATGTGAGACTGACCTTTCCGTAGAGTATTTCTCCGTTTGCTGCCTTGATGAAGACGTCTTCGGTCACACCGTCATCATAAGGGGCATAAGTACCACTGGTCTCGTTAGCAGGAATCGCTGGATCCTTGGAGGTAAGAACTATAGCTCACAATCTCTTTGATTGCGTGGATTTTGCGTTGGGGAGGTTTTTTTTATAATTTAACACTTGAATTTGCACTTGGGTCATTTTATAAATTTGGGATCTAACTTTTCCAGCCCCTGTCACATTTTTGATGTACTCCTTATCACAGTCGTCCTCCAAGAGTGATTATTTATAGCAAACTACCTATCCAACAAATACAAAATCGCGTGAAGTCATTCACACTTGAAAGGCAAACTATGATGGTAACACGGATAGGAAATGTCATACTTTAGACCCTAGAATGACCCACGTCTGAACTTAATATTTTAGGCCGATCTGAGCATTAAAGGAGTACATTCGGTCAGATGTTACAAATTAATATTCACGGTTTTTTTAATTAGGCTTTAAATTGGTGGGTGTATTTGTTTACATTTTTTTGTCTATACATATTTCAAGCATTGAGTTTTGAGGCAGACTGCCCATATCAATCTTCTTACCAAGATAATGATGTAGCGTGTGCCGTTGGCCTTCAGCTCATCAACAAAGTCCCCCAGCCCATCATAGCTGTCACCAATGGTGAAATCCATCTGCCTGTTCATGTAGTCGATGTCACCGTATTGTATGTCCTGTGTAACAAACCATACCGTTACATCATTCTTCGCACCAATGTTCTTCATATTTCATTGTTACCGTCACCACCACAGCAGACATTTATTTGCCATCATTTACAATTAATCATCCATTTCTGTGTTTTATCGTCACTAACCCATTTATTGACATTAACACAACCACTCCAGTCTGTACTGCATGGCAAGAACCCTGTATTTAACACTCTTTTGGTATGCCGAATGAATCTTCCAACGTCATTCTCAGGGTTCTTTTACCACAGGATGTGCTCTTGTGACATCACTCGTTCATCTTGACAAAACTTTCAAGCAGTCTAATCGCTTGACTGTCTGGTCACATAAAATTCCTAAGGATGTCACTGCGAGACATTGTGTCAAATCTTTTCCCCTCAGGAACTTCCTATCCAATTCTTTCCTCCCGTTTTCCCAATTCAAACGAAATGTGAACAGACATCTTCTTCAATCGTAACTTTTTGTTCTTTTCCTGATTATTCTATATTTTGTAGCTCTGGCCTCATTTTCCAACACAGGGTCAGGCTATTTTTTGCAAATAATGTTTACAAAAAAAATGTAGTTTTCACAGTAAAGCACATTCACCTACCAGAGGAATGTCGTACTTCTGCATGCCCGCGACGACCTGCTTGACTCTGTCTAACGAATTGTATCCATAGCGACAAAGCTGGAAGCCCAGCGACCAATATGGCGGCATGTAGGGGCGTCCAATAGCCTATGCAAAACACAGACCGTCAAAAAAAATTGGTCTAAAATTGCGGAGACTGACTGAGTTACTAATTGCTAAATTCATGACAAATTGGACATATTGCAATATCGTGTAACATTCTGAAAGCAATAGGTTGGCGCGGACATCATGATCAACGAACGTGTGAAATCTCCTTATCTCGTTCCCAGACCCATTTTTGATTTCATAAAACTGAATGGTTCTCGAGTCTTGAGTGCTGAATTGTTACACTAAGCAACCAATGAAAACACACCTGCTCATGAAAAGATGTTTTCATCGGCTGACGTAGTGCCACGCATCTCTATCCGGTTCGTTAGTGTGACGTCAGTTCAGGCTAAACCACGCCCACTGACCATTAAGTAGCATTGGAACCATTGGAAAAGGAAGCTAACGCAACTAAAGTGTTTATCCAATGGGCGCTGTAATCAGTGGTGCGTGCGTGTGTATGACGTTTTCACTAACGAACCGGATAGTAAGTCATTCCTTATGCTGAAACACAATATTGAAAATCCCACATCATGCCCTTTACCAATTACTTCTGAGGGAAAGTTTTACTGCGCCGTCCGCATGGAGTTTCTGTTTAGCACAGCGCGCGGCACACCACTCACCTCCGTGTACTGCTGGACTACATTCTCAGGGGTTGGTCCCAAGAACATGTAGAAGTCCAAGATGCCACCAATGGTGTGATACGTGAGAGCCGGGGCTGGCTGGAATGCAACATCTGACGCAAGGACAAAAAGGACTTCACGTTAAAACAAGTGCGAGTGCACAATAAGCTCAAAATGTGCCAGAGCTTAAAAATGCGACGCCGATGGCACATAATATTATGGAACACCATACTTAAGAAGTATACCTAGACTCATAGCGGTTTGTGATAAATACCACACATATGTGACATTACTGAACATATTTTGTTTCCATACCTACAAACTTTTCTTAAACATCTTTCCGAATTGTTACAAACAATTTTTAAGTTTAAGTTTTTTGTTTGTTGGTTTTTTTTTTATCAAAATTTGGTAGTTATATTTTGTGGAAAACTTATGGGACTTATTTTGGTCAATTTTCGGGGACTGACATATGCAAAATAAACGCGCATGCGCACGGTCGAAACAAAATCGCTGTTCCGAAAACCTTCAGCAAGAGTGCATTTTATGACCACGGCATGGCATTTGGTCAATTAGTCAATTATATTTGTGGTCAATTTTCGGGACAGACAGACCGACCGACCGACCACCAAGTGACATGTAGAAGCTCCTGCCAGATCTTAAAAATATGTCAATTGGTAAATAACCGGAAGCATCCCTTCTTTCACCGGTACCCCTTATACAGCGGCGCCTTTCACACTGTCGAAAATCTCCTTGTTGGACCCAGGTTGAACACTGAGATTTCGGAGACCCCTTCCACACGGCTTTTTCACCGGAAGACTCGGAACCCGGCTTCTTCACGGGTCCGGCGCTCTACACGGGTAAAACCCAACCCCGTTTGGAACCAGGCTAGACCCGAGTAGACCTGGTGTAAGTATGAATGGTATAACGCCTTGCCTTTTCGTGTTCGACCCGGTTCCGCTTTTACGGTAGACCCATGTTGATTTTCAGTATATAAGGCGTGGGTAAATTTGGTAAAATGACAAAAAAAGTAGTTTACCACTCCAGAAGGCGCCAAGCATAGCTCCCATTGTGTCCACCTGGGTCCACCCAATGTTCCCCAATACCTATGTTCCCCAATACCTATGTTCCCCAATACCTATGTTCCCCAAAATCCTTGGGGTTAGAGTTAGGGATAGGGTTAGAGTTAGTTAAGGTTGGGGAACATAATGTATTGGGGAACTTAGGTATGCACCCGTGTCCACCATTATCTCAAACTATAGAGTGCGCCCTTTCCAAGCCTGAACGGACGGCTTATGGGTGCATACCTGCAAATAAACTCCCATAGACACTAGTGCTAAATGCCCATACTTCAAAATTATTTTTAAAATACTCAAAACTCTCACAGGTATTCAAGCTGCACAGAAAAATGATGATCAATGTGTCATCTTTCATTTTCTTTTCGATATTTGGTGGGTTGACCATTGACTTTTCGAGATATTTTCACGCAAAGAAGACGACCCCTATTTCCCCCAAAGCGGAAAAGTAGCCATCTTGAAAAACGATCCCTCCACAACATGGCAAAATAGCGCCACTTTCGAGCCCAGTAGCATCCAAAAGGCTCAGAATTGGAAGCCCCAAGTCCGGGCCAGAGGTTCATTACCATATCTCTTCAATTCCCCAATTTTACGGCGCTCAGAACTCTCTAATATAGAATATTTTGAGGGTATAACTTTTATTCATGAGCGTGGCGGATCGATTTACCGGTGTGCACCCTTATGTATGTCTTACCCATTGCATTACTGTTGAGCAGCATAACCCCGTGTGCTTTGTAGTCTTCCTCAAGGCTCGTATAGAACGGATGTACACCATAAAGATTACCCTCGCCCTGCAGCACAAACAATTATATAGGAATGGTCACTGAAATAATGATGACTTGCGGAATCGGAACTTTGGATTTGAAATTATGAAATTGTGATTAGGGATTGGTTTTTGCAGTTGTATACTTTGTCACCTTACGCCTCTGCAACCGCGATTCGTACCTCACCAAGGCAGTAAGGCGGAATGTTTCCGTACCAAGTTGGGTAGTCATTTACTTTTCTCCTTAAGATTCAGAGTTACCCTATTCACTCTTATATTGACATTTTTAAAAATAATCTCTATAGCTTTCTTCGGGCTATACTCGTTGTGCACTTGAGGAGCCGTGGTTTTATTTTTACCAGAAGGGGGGGGGAGAAGAAATAGAAGCAATCTATAAGCTAAGACCTCAAGCTTAAAAAAAGCGTTTAAAAAAACACATCACACGCAACAACCCCACTCTCTCTCTCATCACACATGTTCCAATTTAAATGCTTGGTGTTAGTTCTTGGGAGAAAGTTTCCGGGCAGCAGCCAAAATGCAGGAATCCTAACCCAGGTTGAAAGCATGGTACCTTAGTGGGAAATTTCCATAGGTTTGTGCACAAAAAAATGTTCCAACTTTAATGATTCCAGTAACCCCAATTTCCCTTATCATACCCTCACGAATTCTGGTACATTTACGTTTTGGACTATAAGCAACTGATCTAGCCTATTTGTGACGCTAAATCTTTGCCTCTAAATATGTGTTGTGACATTAGGAAGTTGAAATGTCTCCTTAATGTCCGGTGTCTCCCTAGGGTATAACTTATGACGAAAAAAGTCTCCTATAAGGGTACATTAACCGGGAATTTAGTCACATGCATATAGTGTTCCTAACGGGACATCGCAGTCATCCGTAAAATTTATGTTAGCCTCCAGGGCCACCATACTTACACTTGGCGGCTGATCGCGGCTGAACATCCCCCACGACTTCCACTGAATGTCGTGGCGGAACGACGGATGCTCGTTCTCTCCGAAACCGTAGAGATTGGTAGACGGGAGCATGGTGGTGATCTGAAGGAACTGGTCAGAGAAGATGAATGGGCCAAGTGACGTGTCCCATCTGAAGAAGAAAAAAGATGACAACAGTCGAGAGAACATTACAAAAAACAGTCAGCCAACACCTTATTGTAATAACGAATGCCTATATCAGAAGCAACACTAATTGCAACAACTGGTAATGTGGATCCAGCGACATAAACAAGCAACAGTAACAACACTGACAACAAGACAACACCTTTTAAGCATTATTTTGATTGATAAGAGCCGATGACTAATCCCGGGAGATGAAGATACCCTTTTTTATAGTACATGTAATTGCCTTAAGGATCGTCCACACTTTGATTATACCAAAGCAGTAACATTTTGAAATAATTCCTTCAATCGTAAACTTCCAAAAGGCCTACACAAAATGTGTATTCATTCAAGACCAGTATTTTGATTATTCAACCCTCGAAGCTTTTGCTATTTACAATTTGGAAGCCTAATATTGAGGCACTGCTGTTGCAAACAGAGCTCAGTGCCGACTTATAAAAATATTTTCCCCTTGAAATTAGCCCCCCCCCCCCACACTTCCAACTGCTGTCTGCAAGCCTTAGCACTACTGACGCTACTTTTCAAAACAGATTTGCGCCACGTGCACGATCAAGGGTACACCCAGTAAATAGGCGAAAATCTGTCCGTCGAGCTCATGAATACAAGTTAGACACTCGTGTTATTCTATATTAGAGAGTTCTGAGAGCCATGGAATTGAGGAATTGAAGACATAGGGCGCTGCACCTCTGGCCCGGACTTGGGGCTTCCACTTCCACTTGGATGCAATTGGGTCCACAAGAGGAGCAATTTTGCCATGTTGTGGAGGGATCCTTTTTCAAAATGGCTCTTTTTTAATTTGGGAAAACATCATTCGTGGTACGGGTGGTCTTCTTTGAGTGAAGGTTTTCTCGAAAACTCAAAGGTCAACCCACCAAAAATCAAAAAGAAAATGAAAGATGACATGTTGATCATCAGTTTTCTGTGCAGCTTGAACACAAGTGAGAGTTCTTAGTATTTTTAAATGAATTTTATGAAAAGTATGGGGAGTTATAACAGGTGTCTATGGGGATTTTTACACTGGGGAGCACCCTCAACGTACAGAGCTAACTGGGTAGACGAGCACGCGCATGCGCATAAAAGTGTCACTCGACCAAAGTTGCAGAGTTCAGGAGGGCAAAAAGTTGCTCTTCGTGCGTACTTGGCCCCCCCCCCCCCCCTAAATGTTACAAAAACCCAGTTTTTCGACGGGTGTTTGAAGGGGGGAAATGAAGCCACGACAAATAGCACCTTTGGTTTTTGGTACATAATAATCCTGACCTTTTATTGTAAACCCATAGGCCAGTCGTGTCCCTTGCGAGACAACACAAAGTATAATCTATAAACCGTTATCTCGTGTCAACAATTTTACAAATGGTCTCTGCACCGCTCCCATGGTTACCGTTCCCTGCTTAAATACTGATTTAGGACCGTAACCGAACCCTACCCCACCCCCCGTGTTTTGTCTGGGGAAAAAAATCACCATTTTTGTCTCGAATAAGACCTACAAGCATGAATTCTGTGGCCGCATGTTCTGTTTACATTGGATTATAACATGTTCTTTCGATTACAATTTTTACCGGTATATTGGCTTCGTTCATTCTATGATATATATTTGAATATAAATGTACAATGAATATTTTATGTTCCTTTGATATTTTTTTCTTCTTCTTCTACTCTTTTGGGAAGTTTTTTTTCATGATGCATGCTTCTTCCATTATTTTTTAATTTTCACTTTTCGCTTGTATTAATTGTTGTTTTATAGTTATTGTTGTGGTCGATGTATGTATATTATTTATTCATTTAAGACTGCAGCCTTATACTTCTCGTTTACATCGTGGTAGAGCCGTTACTTACAAAACTGCACCGGAGTCCTTCCTCGTGATCTTCAAGGTGAATGGATTTGATGTGAAGGCCACGTCATACAGTGTCCTGAAGGGTTGGGTCTCGGGTGCCTGGGGCATATTCAGTGGAACCTCATAGCGTTGCTTGGCAGGATCGTAAAACTGTTGGTTGAATACAAACCATCTAATAAGATGTATACCAGCAAATATAAATTGAAATCGCAACTCGTGACAGCGAAACGTTTTCATCTATCATGATAAAATTCAAGTCTGTCTTGTCCATATTCTCCAGTTAAGTTGGTACCTAATTAGTCTGTACGTTCCTGCATTTGGATCACTGAAAACGTTGAACGAATACCCCAGGCTTAAAATATATGGTGTCTACAACAAAATCTGAACACTCAGAGCGTCCTCTTTTTCACAAAACAACACATCTTGATGTAGCTATCACAAGTTAGTTAGTTTGGGCCAATTCAAAAAAGTGCCGCTTTTTCATTTTGGGTGAGGGTACTTTCTTTAATTTTCTATAATCTTTCTTTATTCGGTTCTGTTATTTATTTATTTATTTTTGCAACAATGATGAGTTCTTATTTTGGAAGAAACGGTAGTCCTGAAAAGGACTGTTTTGTTTATCGTCTTAGATGTTTACTGTTCTGCTCTGCCCTCTACTCGGTTGCCTCTTTCACGCGCGGATGCAAGTTTCGGCCCTTGTTCTCATTGTGGCAGTCAAGCATCAGTCGCCGTGGACAAAATGGAAAGCGGCCTGTTTTTAATTGGTTTTAACTCAATAAACATTTTTCCGATTGAAAAGAATTTGTCGTTGTTGAAAAGCAAAAAAGTGTACTTGTCCAAATATGTATCACCATGATTTTTTTTTGTAAGCTGTGAAAAAGAGGGCGCTTTGAGGGTTTGGAGTTTTTTGTGTGGGAAACCCCGTACAACAGACTTTGTTTCTCTTTTGTGGGCATTATCAAAATAGATTGTGCAACCTTTGGTGTTTCCAGGGTGTACTTAACATTGTTTGTAAACCGAACAAGGTGTGTTCATTTCATAGAGCATAGAACATTAACTTCAGAAGCAAATGTCATTTAGGCGGCCCCCCGCAACCAACATATCTGGGTTTCAATCTTATTTAAACTCTCGAAACAGCAGACTCGTTACTGGGGCTGCATGTTTGTATAGGATAGTTTTTTTGTAAAGTCATGGAGAGATGGAAGTCCCCTCCAGTGTCCGCCGATGTTTACCACAACGTGGGACTGCTTTTGTGGCAAAGAAAACAAATTGAAATCCTTCGAGACGGAGGTGTTCGCGAGCATCATGATTCGCCGGCCGCCGGCCCCCCTTCCCCAAACGCATGTGTCTGATGGAGCTGCTTATGGCACACCTTCCATTAAGGCAAACACAAATGCTGTTGTATTTTTGATCATTCTTTACCGCCTGATGATTACAATGAAGTAGTTTCCCACCGTCACAAATAAAAACAAAGATTTACACTGTTATCGACAAAAAGAGATGAGACCGCATGATTTGTCAAAGATGAGCATTGGCCCATTAATAAACATAAACAAACAGGTTAATTGCTTTACTATCTTCCTTTTTCTTCTGCAGTTTTATACTCTACATGACTATCTACCAAATTGTGCAATCTTCGGTGTTTCCGTGTGAATGCACTTAACGATGTTTTGAAACTGGACTATAGTGCGTTCATCTCAAAGAGGATAGAACATTAACTTTAGAAGAAGGTTTCATAATAGGCGGCCCTTCGCAACCAAAATATCAGTGGGTTCAATCTAAAACTCTCGAAACAGTGGGCTCGTCACTAGGGCTAGTATGTTTGAGTAAGATAGTCATTGTATTTATATAGAGGGGTGGAAATACCCTCATGTTTCTACTGATGTTTACACAAACGTGGGTCGGATTTAAGCAAGGAAAATCTGAACTGTTTCGAGATCAGGTATACGAGCACCATCCTACCCCCCCTCCCCCCCCCCAACAAAGTCTCATGCGTATGATGAAGCTGTCATTGATGGCACACATTTCATCAAGGCAAAACTGTTATGCAGTGGCGTAGCCAGGAATTTTTCAGTGGGGGGGGGGGGGGCGCTGGGGGGGGGGCTGGAACATTTCATGGGGGGGGCGTCATGTAGGGGCGTCAATCGCTTCTCAAAAGTGGGGGGGGGGGGGACATACCTTGATCAGAACTGATGCGAGCGCGAAGCGCGAAGCCCTTACGGCGTGGGGGTTCGAGGCCCGCTTAAGGGCCCCGAAAAAAATTGGATCCTAGATGTTCTGTTGTGTGATCTGAAGCAATTTCTTACCACTTTCCTCCATGCTTTAACTAATATTTTCTTAGCAAAAGATAATTATTTGAACATCGTTTTCGAGGTTGGAGTCATTGAATCAGCTATCGGTATTCTGAGCTATAGGCGTGGGGTTCGGGGCCCGCTTAAGGGCCCCGAAAAAAATTGGATCGTCGATGCTCTGTGGTGTGATCTGAAGCAATTTCTTACCACTTTCCTCCATGCTTTAACTAATATTTTCTTAGCAAAAGATAATTATTTGAACATCGTTTTCGAGGTTGGAGTCATTGAATCAGCTATCGGTATTCTGAGCTATAGGCGTGGGGTTCGGGGCCCGCTTAAGGGCCCCGAAAAAAATTGGATCGTCGATGCTCTGTGGTGTGATCTGAGGCAATTTCTTACCACTTTAACCAATAATTATCTTAGCACAAAAGATAATAATTTAAACATAATTTTCGAGGTTTTCTCAGCTAAAGGCATAAGAAATGTTTTGAACATTGGTTTCGAGGTTGGAGTCATTGAATTAGCAACCAGAATTCTGAGCTATAGGCTTGGGTTTCGGGGGCCGCTTAAGGGCCCCGAAAAATGTTGGATTCTAAATGCTCTGTGGTGCTATCTGAGGCAATTTCTGACCACTTTAACCAATATTTTCTAAGCAAAAGATACATTGTAGTACATAATAGGGCCCTGTAAATGAGACACGAGTTCAAAAATCTGGGGGGGGGGGACATTTGATATTGTGTCCCCCACCCTTCAAAAAGTGGGGGGGGACGAGTCCCCCTGTCCCCCAGGATTGACGCCCATGGCGTCATGTAGATCAATGATAGATCCATTTAGAAAAAAAGAGGGGGGGAGAGGGGGGAGAGGGGGGACGACTGGGGGGGGGGCGACAAGGTTTCATGGGGTCGCTCCCCCCCCCCCCCCGTGGCTACGCCACTGGTTTCAAGGAATTTTAATTGGTCTAGTATTATTATTTAGCTTATATATGAATGAAGGAAAAAGTTTGTGCGTGGCCGATTCGCGTGATATCGCTGACTGAAACTGTGTGACCCACGGACCACCTGTCTATAATACGTGTTCCGTGGAGTGAGCGAGCAGTGCAGTGGGTGTTAATACGCATTTTAGATTATCATTATGCGCTATGTCACGCCGGTTGTCAGCTTACTGGTCCGCGGTCGCCGGTCGAAGGGTCGTTTCTCAGTGGTCATCATGTGGATCATTTTCGACTATTTAGATTTAGATCAATGATAATTTGTTTAGAAACTCAAAATCTCAGTGGGGGGGGGGGCGACTGGGGGGGGGGGGCGACAAGGTTTCATGGGGGGGGGCGGTCGCCCCCCACGCCCCCCCCCCGGTGGCTACGCCACTGCTGTTATGCATTTCTGATAATTCTACCGTAATCTCGAGCCTATCCCCCACTTCTACAAATGTAAACCAAAGATTTTCAGTTTCCTCGACAAGAAGAAACGGGATTAGTCAAAGATGAACATAATAGGCTCAAGGAGATACAGCTCATTGCTCAAAGACAGGATAAGTTGCCTAAAACTTGCCTCTATCCCAAAAGTAACCAACCGAATTGTTATTAAAAAACCCACAATTTTACTTGGGTTAAAGATCGCACTGGTACTAAACACCCCTTGAAAGTCAAGAAAATGTGGGTGATATCAATGATCAGTCAGTAATTTGAATGATTTTTGAAATAAAAGAGTGTATTTATGAAATTTGGTTTCGTGATCAAAAGGTTTGCATGTTTTTTCACTGTTTTCTCAAAATGTGTGACATCCACTGATCTGAAACTTTAACAGGTTGGATTTTGATCATTCTTCTCTCGATATTGAGCGGTGTTATTATTGAAAACGAACAACATGTGTGAAAAGCAAATATATATATATGGCCTTTAAATATCGTCCCTTTCCTGCAGTTTTTGTACTTGACCACCTCTAAATTCTCAACGAAAGCCTCATTTGCACGTTAAACAAGGTTTGTTTGCTTGTATTTATTCCCCTTACAAATATCATCGTCTTATCGACCGCTGATATGCCGAGTCAATATAACTACGAACAACGCGTTGTAAAACGTGACTGTATGCACAATTTTCTAGAAGTATATGATCGTCGTTTGAGTTGCCCGTGTAAAAATGTATAGTCCCATGCTCATAGATATTTGTGAATGCACTGGATTATCCCAGATTAAGTTTTATTCGGTTTATTGCTTTCACTATAGATGTACAAATAAATAGAGCACAGTGCGATAAAAGAGATAACTTGCGAACAGTTTAAAAGATTGAATAAATTATATCAACGTGAATAATTATACTTATCAATGCACGGCAAGTAATCTTTAGGCCACACCCAATCTTCATCTATAGTGATCAACAAACTAAAACAAAATGGAGCGCGTACCAAAGAAAAAAATAAGATTAAAATGATTAAAACAAAAAGGTTGGTCTCTCAGTTTATTTTTGTACCTTGAATCTCAGCCTGTACTCGGTTTGGTGCTCGATGTCCAGGATGAGTCTAGTGATGTCACCACCAAAGAGTGTGGGCGTGGAGGGAATCCGGTCCAGCGTGATTCGGTATCCGCTGGGCGTCTCGGCCTCCTTGCCAACCATGCGATACCCACCATAGTTCTTAGGGAAGAAGCACTTGGGCGCGGCTGTGTCGACCATAGGCATGGACCATATACACCCTCTCTGGAGGCAGATCTCTTCCGTGCCTTCCTCCCAGCCGGGGTGGCAGCTGACCCTCATGTGGTCTTCGATGTCGCCATAGGGTGTGGGAGGGGGTTCGGTAGTGGGTTTGGTAGTGGGTTTTGCAGGGGGTTCGGTAGGGGGTTTGGTAGGGGGTTCGGTAGGGCACTGTCCAGTTTGGGGAGACTTGGTAGCCGCGGTGTTTCCATAGTTCGGGTGAAGGAAGTACGTGAGCGGTACTGTTATTACTGTCACGACCATTGCTGTGATCACTACGGCTATTATAATAGCAACTCGGCTCATACCGCTCTTGGGGACGCGATCAACTTCCACCTCAAAAGTTCCCTTGCTCATCGTGAAGTTTTCTGATTGTTCTTTTCACGAAACCATTTACCAGTCACGGAGCGTCAAAACAGTTTTACCGACTAATTAAGTGTACCTGGGTAAATGCACTCGCCTACAGGGCGTATATGAAATCCTCCTATGTGCAAAGTCTAGATTGCAATCTAGGAACTTCCAAACATTGACATTACGCAAATCACACGTTCCACCAATGACACGGTTTGGTACGATACTGATAAGACCCTTCAGAAGTAGTGTCATGTTATTTTAACTTGTTTAAATACTCAATGTATGGTCCTGCAAGTGCAATAGTCTGCGTCTCAATCGTTAATTAGACTACTAGTATACATTCCCTGCACCTGATAGTGCATTACCGGATGCAAAATCTACTTGGAACGCGATTGAACCGTATACACAAAATCTTATGCGTTTTATTATTGACCCATGACCAGTACGATTATACATAACAAAACCAGATGCCGCTGGAATAGCGATACTATATATTAGGTCTAAGTTCTTTTTTTGGCGCTGGTGCAGCAGTTTTGTCTGCTCTGTGACTTGTGATGAACCCAAGTTCCAGGGTGACCGTATATGTAATGGCAAAATTAAAGGGAAGATACAACATTTGCAAACATAAAAACACGAAATGATCAAATTATCACGGAATACCTTACTGAATTGTTAGGGAATGACAGTCTAAAGCATCCTGTAAAATCGTGGCTCCTGGTGTGCTGACATTTGTAAGAAAAAGTGTATTTTTCCAAAGCTGGTCGGCCGACCTGAGCGTTGGAAAAAAAACTAGCTATTTTCAAAAACCGTACCTAATTTTTCATATCGCATTTTCTTTGCAATTGATTACACACCTGTGAAGGGGTACAAGCCTGCTATAGACTGATTCTTTGACCTTACAATTCCCCAAAGTCTATAAATTGATCCGTTCACCTTAAGTGGGGTCAGCGTTCCAGACTACAAGAACATGATTGGTTGTCTTGGTTTTTCCAGCATCTACAAACCCAAAACATGAAACAAGTCAGTTTAACAATATTTGCTATGTCAAGCTAATCCTCCAATCCATTGTTTTCTGAAAATTGCAGCAAAAGCAAATGTTGTACATTCCCTTTCAAAAAAATTGCTAGATTGAACAAAAATCTGCTAAATCCCTAATTACACAAACTACATTATAAACACTTTATATACTCCCATTCAGATATGATAACATTTCCTGAAACCCCAAAAATCATAACATTTCCTCAAATAGTACATTTTGTTTTAAATTACGCGTGTCTAGTCTGGCTTCAAATGTCTACAGTACTTTTACTGTGAACTCGTACACATCAGGGAACCTTGGTATTCCTAACAACTGAGGGCGCTGTACTGTGACGTTCGATATAAGCACATCCTATACAGTTTATGAAATTTATGTACAAATAATCAATATGTACATCTTTTGCTCGGGAACAAATGCATATACTTAAACCAAACAAACAAAAGATTATGAATTAAGCTCATTGTGCAATGGCAATCAGATTGAATATTAGCGGAGCGATACATAGTTGGATGGAAGGACGCAGCTTGTTCCGAGTCCTCGAAATTCTCTTCAAAAGTGAACTCGAATCAAGTTAAAGACAACTTACTGATTTGGTTCCAGGCTTCCGGCTTGTTGAAGTGTGTGACCACAGGCAAGGAAACAGACCTCAGACGTTTCACAGTCGTCAGATGCCGTCCATTTAGGGAGTAGTCAGTGTCCGACTTCGAACTGTTCTTCAGATGTAATTTCTGTATTATGTAATACAAACAGTCACGTTTTAAAACAAAGCAGTTCAGTGAAACAGTATAGGCATACAATGTGGCACTTCTGATGGCTTCCCATGGACTTCAATAATGCAACGTAAGGCGTGCACTCTGCATATCGGCAATTTTGTCAACCCCCCTGGACTGGAGTGTCATGGCCTAGCGGTTAAGAGCATCGGACTCATCGGACTCATGCTCTGGCGTTTCAGAGGCAACAGTGGCGTGGGTTCGAGCCTGGGTCTGGACACTTGTTGTGCCCTTAAGCAAGGCACTTACCCATTATTGCTTCGTCCTTCGGATGGGACGTAAAGCCGGAGGTCCCGTGTGTTGTGTAATGCAATGCACGTAACTGAAGAGCCCAGCAACACTTTTCGCTAAGAGAAGGAGTTTTTGCCTCGGTGTTTCTGGCCTCCTGGTACACTCCCTTACCGAGTCCTTAGGAGAAGAACCAACCAACCAAGTACGGTGCCAAGTACCCTTCAAATTGGTATGGCGACGCCAGTGGCTTGATAACACTGAAGCTTTTGCCTTAGGCCAAAAAAAAAAGTCTCCGGTTTCTGGTATGCGCGCGCGTCGCCGTAGCCATGCGCGTCGGCAAAATGAAAAAGGTTTTTTTTCAATGAAAGATGATGTCCCAGAACCGCCAAACTCACTGGTTTGACTGGAATTCTGCTGCCGCACAATTTTAACGTGTTTTTAGGTAGGTAAAGGTCGAGAATAAGCTTTATGTGGCCTCTCTGGACTCCCAATCCCATATAGGCCTATTTGTACTAAGTTTAGTCGGGCACCATTTGCAGTCATCAGCCGACATTTGAAGCAAAAAAAATCAGGTAAAAAAAAAAAAAAGCCGCGTCGCCGCACCACTTTTGGGGCAAGCTCCATACCAGAAACCGGAGACTTTTTTTTTTTGGCCTTATTTCCCCGTGACTATATTTGTATCGCCATTAATAACCACGAAGTCCATAAAGGGTTCATGCATTGAATTTTTCTTAGGAACATACATGTATTCTGTGCAACTTTCTCCTCTTAGTAACATCCCTTTTTGGTTAATTTTACTGAAAAGTGCCTTTTTTAAATATTCAAAATTTTCCATGCTCTTCCAGGCAACTGAGGGCGCTGGTGCTGTGATGGGGTCCGCTCATAAGTCCGACGCCTCATAAGTCCGACGCCTCATAAAATGAGGCGTCGAGGCGTCGGACTTGTGAGGCATAAATCCGCCTCATAGATCCGACGCCTCATAGCTCCGACGCCTCATAAGTCCGAAGCAGCGTTCGTCCATTGTCGGACTTATGAGGCGTCGGACTTATGAGGCGTCGGACTTATGATATGAGGCATACAATTAATTTATTCCGCCTCATAGGTCCGACGCTGCGGAAGTCCGACGCCTCATGGCTCCGACTCCTCATAAATACGAAACAGCGTTTGTCCATTGTCGGACTTATGAGGCGTCGGACTTATGAGACGTCGGACCTATAAGGCGGATGTATGACTCATAAGTCCGACGCCTCGTAAGTCCGAAATTTCGGACTTATGAGGCGTCGGATCTATGAGGCGCACGTCGGACTTATGATACGGCCCCGCTGTGATGTCATTTCAGGAAAACACTGTTGAGGGGTTTGTGTTGAAATTGAGAACCCCAAAATGTGCTCTTTGAAAACGCTTGTGAGAAAACAACCAATCACCAAAGAACTTTTACAGCGTATAACGGCAAAATATCAAACATTCTGTCAACTTATGGTGCTGAAATAACTGTAACATTGAGGTTGTTGCCTGAAATGACATCACACTTTTGTTCATGGAAGTTCGCATTAGCATGGAAGTTCGCATTAGCATAGTCCGAGTAACTAGGACTCTACGAATCGCCGTTTTTAACTTTTGGACATGGTCGGGCGATAGTAGAGTCCTAGGTACATAGCCTTATTGCGTTACTACATGTAATAACTTTTTTTGACCATTTTCACTCGTATACCTCCAATCAAAATCTTCAGATTTCACCCCCCAAACAGTTTTCAAACTGCCATATGCGACCCTGCAGGCTTCAGTGGGAATTGGAAATACAAATGGTGGTGGTTAGGTTTACATACCTTTTGGAAGAAAAGAGAAATTTCACCTTCAATTCGGGAAACATCCTTGTCACATATGCCTTGTTTGGGGCTGCCATTTTGAATTCAGGAAAAGTAGACTGGTGCATAGCTGGCTAAACTGTTTCCTGGCAAGCATCAGACAGACCAATCACAGGGCACTTTGATTTGTCACCTGACCAATCACAGGGCACTTTGATTAGTCACCAATCCAGGTGACCAATCAATGTGCCCTGTGATTGGTCTGTCTGATGCGTTTCCTGAATTCAAAATGGCAGCCTCAAACAAGGCGTTTGTGAAGAGGATGTTTCCCGAATTAAAGGTGAAATTTCTCTTTTCTTCCAAAAGGTATGTAAACCTAACCACCACCATTTGTATTTCCAATTCCCACTGAAGCCTACAGGGTCGCATAAGGCAGTTTGAAGATTGTTTTGGGGGTGAAATTTGAAGGGGTACGAGTGATAATGGTAAAAAAAAAGTTATTAGTAACGCAATAAGGCTATGTACCTAGGACTCTACTATCCGACTATCGCCCCACCATGTCCAAATGTTAAAAAAGGTTTTTCGTAGAGTCCTAGTTACTCGGACTATAGCATTAGCATAAAAAACCAACAAGGCACCAATATATCCTTGAAAATATCAAAAATTGAAAATCAGGTTCAATGGGACACAAAGGGGATTGCATTAAAATATTACATTGCATAGGCCCTTCAAACATTCTTTAGAAATGGCAAGACAAAGAATAAAACTGAAGTAAGGAGCAAGTATGACAACTATTCTGCATGGACAACAAAGCGTTCATTTATTGGTTTCAATTACCACAGTCCCCACAGAGAGTTATAGAATAATATATTATATACTTTTTTTATATTTACAAAGTACTTTAAACAATCGAATGCACTGCATGTCCTTGCTAAATGATTTTGTTTCTTCATAAAAACAATATAAACCAGTTGCATATCTTTAAACTGAACATTGTTTCTTAAAAAGATTATTACGTGACAGAGAACGTGCACTTTTTTTCCAAAAAAGAAATATGTCCAAATTTAGCAAAACCATATTACAAAATGTCAAACAAAAATGCACATGTTTACAAGTTTCCAAATAATCACCCTTAATTTTTATATTTTAATCCAAACGGTTAATTTAAAATTTAAGCCTCAACATCGAGAGGGATTTATAAGCAGGATCGAGTGGATGGTGAGCGGTTATCCATACAAGTAACCATATCATTCACGCTTTCTTTAACAAACAATAACT